GGACTTCAACTCCCAGAATTCTTGAGCTAACATGACTGGAGGAGGAATTCTGGGAGTTGAAGTCCACAAGTCTTAAAGCTGTCAAGTTTGAAGGCCCCTGATCTACATACACAAATACACATATCCAAGGATTGAAAAAAAAACAGTTGTTTTATAATTGATAAAAAGCTGTAGAATGCTTAACTCATCTCAACCATACTCATTACCTCCTCAAAGTACAAAGACAGATCCATTTAAATTAACTTTGACTAACAAACTCTTACCTTTATTGTCAGAGTACAGCATGTGTACAATGAGATTGGCTGAGTTCCCTTTGTGCACACACAACACAACTCACAGTGAGGACATCCCTAACCCAGTCCCAATCTTATTATGTGACCTTGTTGCTCAATGTGCCGGCCCCGCAATCTATCATATTACGTTGACATAAAGTTATTTTCTGTTCAGACGTTTGACAGCCCATGTTAGATCTGGTATCATACTTAATAAAGCAAACTGCCATAAATGGGAACCACACATTTCTATGTTCTGCAAATATACTTAGATAATACTTCCAGTAAAAAAATATATATATGAAATTCTAAATACCCCAAAAATGTGTTTCTCCAAAAATACAACCCACCCCCAAAATAAGTCCCAGCTTGAGTTTTACATGTGAGCCCAATATAAGCTCTAATTAAGACCCCACCCATGGGTAAAAATTAAGCTAGGGTGGTGGAGCCGCCCTACTTACCTTCAGACAATTGCAGCCAGGCCTAGCACACCCCGACACCTGCCTTGCGAACCCATTTCTTCTGCAGCTGGCAAGGCTTTCCTGAAGGCCTCTGTAGCCATTAAAGAGCTCCAGATCAATCCCTGAAGAAAGCCTTGCTGGCCATAGAAGTTGTTCCTGAAGGCCTCTGACAATAGGAGGCCAGGGATAACACACACAAATGAGATGAGTCAGTGGATGACATCCCCCCCAAATAAAACCTGGTGCCTTTTTTGGTGAGAAAAAAAATAAGACAGGGTATCAGCATCACATGTCTAAGTAACAACTTATCCTCTACATTGTCAGTCCTGATTCCAGTTAAAACATTCAATCATTGTGTATAAAAAAAAAAATCTGAACTATATTAAAATTTCCCCAAATATTTCTAATTTCTCTACATGGTTTTGCAGGACAAAGGCATATATGGTTCAAAGAGACCCACTTTCCAAAAGATCTTTGTCAGAGACACCAATGAGGAGCCGATTTTCTGCCAGCAGACAGCTCACACTCAGAAGGATCTTGTGACCATTGTGAAGTCTATCAAAAGTGCCTCCCACAACTACATCAGAGAAACTTTGCAATGGCTCATTTGTTTTCTCAGTTTCCTCTTGTGGGGACAGTTCTCCATTATCATCTTGTAACTCATAGTCAGGATACAGTAAAACAGACCTCAGTTTAGGGCAACAGCTGTAACAACTGATGGCATAACGTTCTAGGCGCTGTTTAATTGGATTTGATTGCACTCCATCTGAACTTTCGTAGTCTGTGAGCACCACTTCAGGTGGCTTGGAAAGGTTCTGTACATATCCTAGCGGTGGAGGATTAGCTCCTTGAGTGAGAAGGTTGGTGAGCAATATCCGGACATCAAGGTGACGATGGAGGTCAGCATCAGTGTACAACTTGCTGATAAGGTTGTGTACTTCAGATGTGGCAGGAACATAGGCAAACCGGGGCTGTGAAGCACCCGACAAGCTGAGTCCTGGCTGCAGTTGGATATATAGGGTTTCTTGTACCAGCCGGGCAGCTGAAGCAAGAATGGGCATCAAGCGTAGAGAAAGTGCTGAAAGTGGGGATGTCAGAACAAGTAGACCAGAGCGGAAAATCGACATGCTGTCTGGGAAGACCATTCAGAAAGATACATGCAAAAAAAAAAAAAAAGGTCAAAGTAGCTTTAACCTATAGAAAAATAATGACCAAAGATTTCATGTTATTAGCACCTAGTTTAAAATGACAAACCACATTGTAAATTCCAGAAAAACATTTCCCTAGTGTAAAGTAGAAAATCCCTATTTAAAATCCTTAATTGACTAGCATTGGACAAGATATTATCTTGCAGCCTAACCTTCATAAAATTGCTATGGAACCACAGTGTATTTAAACTTGTTAGAGGAAATCTAACAGAGAAAGATAAACAGCAGTACTACCAATTTCTTTTTTGCTTATTTTTAACTTCCACTTGATAGTTAATATGCAATTAAGCATATTAATATGCAATTAAGCAAATGAATAGTAACATCTCTCTATATCTTTCCATTTTTTAAACTCTTAGTGGGCTATAACGTTGAAGACAGCAACAGTAATTATAAAGTAATCACTTACTTTCCAGTGCCCCCAAATCTCCCACCTTTAAAAGATAAATGAGTGTCACCTAACAGGGTGATTACATAATATTTTCAACTGTCCAGCCCGCCCCCCCCCCCCAAGTTTTCTTCAATCAACCCAATGGTCATCTCTTTGGAAATAAAATCCAAATCCTGTGAGGTGAGTTGGGTAAGTGTGTGTGACTGGCCCAAGATCACTCAGCTGGCTTTTCATGGATAAGGGATACCAAAATAAATAAAAGGGGGGAGGTGGGGGGGGAGGAAAAGGGACTCTCCTTCCAGCCTTTATTCAACATTAACTCGGTGGTGTTCTGCAACTGTAAACCAAAGACAGAAATTCCAAGGCTGTTGGGTTATTACAGCACGGAGGTTGCTGCAATATATTATATATATTACCCATTTTTAGCCTCCCATCTTCTCCTGTTATACCACCACAGCTCTTGTTACTTTTGATATTTGGGTTTTGAGCTTTCCAGCTTTTTTTTTTTTTAGTGCAACAAAAAGCTCCAGGCTTGTTGGGAAAGGCGAGGTGGAAGAATAAGACACGTTTGCGGTCCTCCTGTAAAGGAAACCTGCGGCAAACGGCCAACTCAGGTTCCGTCGCTGGGAAAGAAGAGGCGAAACGGTAACATTCCTCACTCCCGCTGCCCCACAACAAATCGCCCCCCCCCCCCGCACGAGAGACCGGGAGCGTCTCCCCACCCCCCCCGCCCCCGAAGGAAAAAAACCTTCCGCTTACTCACCTGAAAGGCAACTTCAGCGTAGTCAACACCCGACCCGGAAGTGTCTCTACACAAACTGGAAGAGATCCTAGTTGCTAGGAGGAAAATATTTATAGGCCCCGAGTGGAAAGTTAATCCCAGGGGGGGCGGGGAAGAAATATTTAAAGGAGGAAGATCCCTTTGCCTCGTATCGATGAATGCCAAAATGTCGAGCCCAGTTCCAGTTCTCACTCGTCTTGTTAACGCACAAACTATGCTTTAGCAAGGGGTGCGGGTGGGGCTATAGTGTTTGGGTTATAGCCTTTCCAGTTGTGTCCATTCCTGGATCAAGATTCCCTGGTCATGGTCGCCCCCCGTCACCACGATATTGCCAGGTGCTCTATATGCGGGGCCACCCTTGAAAACCATCCAGAACGAGCCTTTCTCAACCTTAACCTGCTTGAAGATGAGTGGACTTCATCTCCCAGAATTCCTGGGCGAGCGAGCAATGGGGGAGGATTTTGGGAGCTGAAGTCCACGCGTCTTAAACGCGTCCGAAATTGAGAAACCGATTCCGAAGCTTCGATTGGTTCATAATGCAGAACAGCATGCGATTATAGGGTTTGATACACCTGTTAAGATCTAGATTTTCTCCCACGCATAGGTGGGATAATAATATCTTGATCATCTTTTGTTGCGTGCTTGGTTGCCATTTCACATTTATATATTGTCTTTGTTGTTAAAAGGTTATTTCCCCCCTTATTTTGTGTTTGTGCTGTATGCAGTCACATATTCCGTGCTGGGCAGTCTTATATTGTAAATCTTTAATAAATAAGTGTTGCTATATGTAGTTATTACTATAGCAATTATGTCATTTTTCAATCTGTAGTTTCTATTGAAGCCCATATGCTTTTTAAGTAACCAAGAATATTGTTGGTGTTAAAGGATCTATTTTATCTGTAATAAGCATCTATCTATTGGTTCAATGAAAGAAGTGAGATTCTATAATTGGTTAGGGCTGTGCATAATTGTTCTCTGAGTGCTTCCTAATGTTAAATATAACCCTATCTATCTGAATTCAACTATATTGTTTCTTGTCAAAGCTAGACAGATACTTTATCCTCACTTTCCTTCAAACTTGTCAGTTAGAAAAAGTTCAAATCTTTAAGACTTTTATACTGAGTCCTGGTATCTGCAGTCCCCAGAAGAAACTATAGTTAGTCCAAAGTACTCCGTTCTTTATATTCAAACCAATTTTTAATTTATTTATTACAGATATACATTGTTACCCATTTGACAAAACTTAAGGTAATTACGGTAGCAATAAAATAAAAATACAATCAAATGGAAAACACAATCAGTTGTTTGGAATTCTCTGGTCGCTCCCTAGGCTTAAAAGCAGTATTTATCACACTTTTACATTCAGAAGAACATTGGGTGCACTATACTTCATATATTTGCTAGAAGGTGTTGATGCTTTTGCATCTTATTTATAGTTGTGGCACATTATGGATGCTTTATTACAATAACTATAGGAAAATGATTTATTTCCAGTTTTGCCTTATTATTCAAACAACTTGAGACCCTCTCTTAAGAAAGCTTGCAGGTCTTTGGAAGCTCTTAGTAAATAAACGTGCTAGGGATAACCTGTCCCAGAGTTCTTTATTATTGAAGCAAATTTGGCAATTTATACAGGTTTTAGATAAAAATAGAAAACAGTATTTATCAAAAAAATCATTTTTAAAAGCATTGTAAATTATACATTACAAGACTGTACTTATATAGGAAACTACCTATTAATATATCTAGCATTTTCTGTTGCTTTGTTTTGTTCTGAAATCCTACAACGTTTTTGCAATGTATTCTATGTGCACAGCAGTTTGGATTTGAAGCTAGAAAAATGCTTTAAGTTTAATTGTTACGTGGCTGCAAATATTTCCAAACCAAATATTTCTTTTTTCTGGAATTGAACTTACAGAAGGACAGCTAAGTAATTACAGAAAAAGATGTATCACATCTTTTTGCCATCAAATAGGATTCCAACAGCCTCACTATATATCCTTTGAAATACACCAAGTCTTCATTTTGCCCCTCTTTGACCACAAGAGGGCACACCTGTACAATCATAAAACCCAGAAATCACTAGGTAATAAACTTTATGATTTATGAATCTGGGTGAGTGTAAATATAACTTTGTAATTCAGGAAGAGAAAGCCACCGTAAAGGATTATGACCAGAGGAAAATAATAAAACCTAGAGGTTTGAGGACATTGTCTTAACTACATGAATTAGACTAATTAGACCATGTAATTATCACATGCTTCATAAAGAGAAAATAATGGGAATTGTGGACTTATATACCTGGAAGGGAGCTAGTGGGAACAGCTTGGGTATTCTCCCTAAAGTTTCCAAGTCCATGAAGAGGCAACATTGGTTCATCTCAAAGTTCTCTATAAGCCAATCCCATAATTGTGAAGTGAGAACATTAGCTGAATCCCTTTCTCTGCATTCCAAGTTGTTCTTATTAATTTTGAAGGGCATCCTGGAAGGAGCACTATAAAGCAGTATATAATCTAAGCACTATTGCTATAATCCTAGAGGGTTAGGATTATCCTACAAGCCAGCATATAAATGATCAGCAAGCACTGGAAACAATTATACATCTTTTCTTTTGTTGTTACACTTTCCTCTGTAGTTATAAAGGAAAGAGAAAAACATATTGCTCTATACTTTTTTAGTTTGGTGATTCTTCATTAGACTGAGTTTTCAACAAAATATGGCTTTGCCTATACAGGTACTGCATAAATCGAGAGCAATTTCCTCTATAGGCACTTTCTTAGAGGAGGAAAATTACACTATCAGTTGCATAGAACGATCTATAGAGAGGAAGACGGCTGAGTAGGGATATAGTTGTCTTGAGGAGCCAAACATGGCTTTGTAACCATCTGTACAAATAGCACTCATTTCTGCTACTACAGTGAACGCACTTTTGAACTTAATTGGAGCCATGCTCCAATTATTTGAATAACAAAGGCAGGTACCTCTAAGATGGCTCAGTAATTAAAGACACTGAGCTTGTCAGCCTGGGTTCAAGACCCAAGTGTCATGTGACAGGGTGAGCTTTCATTACATGCCCCACTCCTGCCCCTCTAGCAATCCAAAAGCATACAAATGCGAGTAGGTAAATAGGCACCACTTCAGTGGAAAGGTAACAGCATTCTGTGCACCTTTCATGTATAGTCATGCTGGCCACATAACCACAGAAATGTCTTTGGACAATGCTGGTTCCCTTAGCTAAGAAACAAGGATAAGTACCAGCTCCTAGAGTCTGACACAACTGGACTGGGAAAAAAGCCTTTTATCTTTCCTCTAAGATCGTATGCTGAATTTTTGCCAATGATTACAAACCATATTCAGTTACTACCTATTAGAAGTATTACTTCCATGATTTTGCACATAGCCTGATGTGTCTCTTTTTCCAAAAGCTGAAAACCAGGCCTTTTCTCCCTTATAGTTCCAGTTCTATTTGTGGACATTGGGACATCTGTTAAAAAAAATCAAGAGTAAGTTTTGACTCAGTAAACCAATACAAAGTTGGAATCAATGATCCACAAAATTATACTGAGAACAGAGTGTCTCCATCACAATGCCATCAAGTGACTCTACTTCATGGCAGGGGGTAATATTTAAGATATATCTCTGTAGCTATGTCTAGCGTATTGCCAATAGGTTTTGATGGATACTGTTTTCCATTGTAGATAAATCTCTTTTCTACTTTGATGATAGCTTGGTTAAATTGATCCTGGTGAAAAGGTGTTCCAGAATCGAGGCACTTCACCAAGGTGATAATGAAAAGCTTCCAACGCATCCTGTAGTAGTCCAGCATCAGTCCTGCAAGCTGTTTATTGGCATAGTCCAAAATGTTGCCATCAGGTCCCCAAAGAGTCAGCTGGTTGCGTGCATTAAAGTCATACAACTGTTCCTCTTTTTTGCTGGTGGCCATTTTGTGGGCAGCTTCTAGCCATCCTCCCAGCAAAAAACGCCTATCACTGGAGAGAAGAGTGTCCAGTTCTGGAAAAAGGTCATAGATTAGAACACCACCAGTAATTAGGAGTTGTGACAGCACACGTTTCTGAAAAGCCTGTTTGATTTCCAAATAGTAATCACTTACTCGCTGTTGCAGAACCTGACGAACTACATCCACGAGGTCATAGCAGAAGGTACTGCTGTTGCCCAGTTCACCAGAAGTATTTTGAAATAGCTGCCAGGCTTCGTAGACATCACTCTTATTGTACCAGACCTCTGTGTTCATCCGAAAAGAAGGACGATGAACAAGGGGGCTGTGATTGTGATTTACACAAGGCCCTGAACAGTTGTAGACACTCTGGAATAGCAGTTGCCAAGCCTTTATTACTTGCATGTTTTTGACACCATAGCGCTCTGTACTGTATGTGGAAACCCACTGTTGTAGATTTACTGGCTCCTTGAGCCAACCTAAATCTGTTATGAGTTCGTATATCACATCATTTTGTTCAATACCTTCAGGGGTGAGGCCAATGCCAATCATAGTAGAGTTGAGAAAACGTCTGGCTTCAAAAGGACCTTGGTTGATGCTTTCCACCATGCCAAAAAGGCCATGGTTCCCACCGAAGTTGTGAAGCATACACCAAATGAAAGGCTGCCCATAGAAGGACTCCGTCCAGAGGTAGACAGGTTTAGATTCAGCGAACAGGTCCAGGACCAACATCCTGCCTAGAGGTACACCTTGAAGAAGGGCTTTAACTTGAGCAGGTTGCCAGAAATCTCTCTGGTGTTGGAAAAGCCAACCTTGCATCAGCCATATGGCATGGGGATCAACTATAAGGACAGGCACAGTCCAAAGAAGGGAAAAACACAAATTCAGAACCAATTACTTCTATTCTGTACTCTTCTCTATTCCTTCTAGCCCTGGATTGCTGTGCTGTTTCTTATTCTGTTTACATCATCATCATCATCACAACAACAATAATAATATAGGTTCAGTTTCTGTTTACAAACCTGTAATTCTGTTGGCATACTGCATGCTTTTCATTTATCTACCTAAAATGGTATTTTGTGCCCTGGATTTCTCTTGGAAGAAAATGTTTCTGGTTCTCAGTTTTTTTGTTTTGTTAAGATTTTGCAATCACAGCAATACAATTAATCTTAGCCTGAAAACCTCTAGCTGTAAATCTACTAGATGTAAACATAATATGAGAGTTAGTATGATGGCATTTATGGATTGAACCTGATGAAGCCTTGATTGAAATCTCTATTTGTCCATCTAGCCAGATGGATAAATGGTGGACAAATCACTATCTCTTGGTTTTCTTTCTGATATAGATATTAACAAGAATAAAAGTAATAGCCCAGAATATACATACATACATATATGCATACACACACCCACACTAAATAAACGCAAAATTCCTTTGATCAGAGTTGATATGTTTTTTTGTGCTGTACTTCATTTCTAACTCAAAATTATGCAGAATATCTCTGAGCAACGAGAATATATGAAGATACCTTATTCCAAGACAACAAAGTAGCAATTCTATATGTACACAATTTAAAGAAAAGAAAAAGGAAAAAAAAATACAAAGTTCATAAAATCTCAGCAACAAGAAACAGAATACCTACCTTTGAATACCTTTTGAATAAATAAATACAAATCCTTACATATGATTCATACTCTAGGTAACTGGGCAAAAACATTCACATGATGTGTTTATTTGCCATTTAGCAAAGAAAGGACCATCTTACCACACACGGAAATTACAGAAATGTTGCAATTAATCACCAAGGAAGATGTGTGTGGTGATAATATGAGACGGCCTTTTTTATAGCAGCATCCCAGGAGTGAAAGAAGCTTATAGTTTTTAAGGAAACTGTGTTAATTTTCATCATATCTTTAATAGTTTATTTGCAAACTTGGCTGGTAACTGCTTTAATGTTATTGATTGGGATATTTCTTCTTACTGTGAACTGCCAGTGAGCTCCTTATGGGAGAAAAAGTTATAAATTTTAGTACATTATTAAAAAAAAACCTCTGACCTTCCACAACCTTTATGGGTATTAACTCACCATTTGAAATTATGAAGAGGCTCTACTATTATCCTTGCAATATAAATTCTCTTTTTATGACTCTGTAATTCCATTGGATGAAGCTGAATGTTTACTAGCCAGATGCCCTTCCTGACACCATGGGAAGGTCATAGCAGATATATTTTCTTTGCACCCAAGGAGAGAAACATCTGCTGCTATCTAGGATTGAACTCCCAACTCACTACTTGGCCACCAAGCGAATGGCAGGCAAGTGTCTTCACTACTAGGCCACCAAGCCACACTTACATTATCCTTGCAATATGCATGGCTAAATGAGTTAAAGATAATGTGCTAAAGAGCTAAAGATGAGCAGAGATAAAGAAAGGAAAAGAAAATTAGGGCTAAAGATGAGCAGGGATAAAAAGAGAGTAAAAACAAGGAGGAAGAAAAGGCCCTGTCACTTCATACCTTCAGCCATGGAGCGGAAGACAGCTGTGCTGACCATAGAGAGGTAGGTGGTATTTGATGAAAGTGGGCGCATCTCATTGAAGGTGTCAGCACTATATACATGATCTGTACCAAACTCTTTGATAAGTTCCTTTAGAAAGAGGGTCCCTATGACCTGAAACATGGGGTCTTCAGGTGACAACAGGTAAGCACATGAATATGTGCAATCAAAATGGCTCCAGTTCCCCAGCTGTGTGGCATTGACCTGTGGAAAAATTCTAACATGGGGGGAAAAAAACATTGTGAAACTTTACAAAGTCAACTTCAAATTCATTGGGTTGTGTGCTAAGTGCTACAAACTTCTGCAGGAAGATTTAGGCTCAAGCAAAGAGAATACTTAATGGCAGGAACCCAGAATATTAGAAAATTTCAAAGCAAGGAATACACTCAAAATCGTGTGTCCCTGGTGTAATCTTCTCCACTGACCTTTGGACCCAGATGTTAAGAGGTGTGGTTAATAGTAAAGGGAAATATATTCTGCATGGATTCAAAGCACTTCACAGAACCATTTCCCCGCAAGGAGTTCTCTCTTATTTCAGTACTGGCTTTCACATGAATACTCCCCTCAACAGTTCTCATGCCTTTCTCCCACCAAAAGCCCTACATCTTCTAGACTAAATCTTTACTTTTTGGGCTAGCCTGTCATTCATCCCTTGGAGAAAGACCACTGCTTGGTGGATGAGTACATCCTTTCCATAAAGTAGAGCCCTAAGTTTCTTTTCCAGGAAGTCTGAAAACCTTGGGATCTGCTGCCAGTGAGTATAGGCCAGCTTTCCAAATGTAGGCCTTCTAATCATTAGTTAATGGTGGCAACTTTAAAATGTATGGACTTCCAGGATTCTGGAATTGAAGTCCATACATCTTTAAATTGTCAAGGATGAGAAACAATGATGCAGACAATACTTGGCCAGATGGAAAACAGCCAGTCCTGCTTTGAGGCAGTTTCATATATGCTCAACCCAATTTTGTTAATTTACCTTAGGATGCCTTGAGGGATATGCCCAGAGAAGGCGGGAAGCACTGTCCATATACCCAGAGACCTCATTCTCTCTAGGATCCTGTACTGGAAAGGTAAAAGGGTCAGGATGGAGCAATGAAGCAAAGCCACAAAATAGTTCATATTGTTCCCCACAACCCCTATAAAATTGGTCCAGAAGAAGGCCCATTTTTAGGAAGAGCTCTGCATTCTGTGGGCTAAATGATACAAGATTTAGGACCTAATTTTCTGATCATTCCCGTTTTACTCAGAATCATGGTATGTAATAAAGTTGAAATACAAATAAATAATTTTTTTTTAAATGGAGCTAAAACGACTATTCCATTCTTCATTTCCAGAATTTTCAATAATGCTAATCTGCGATTCATTATAAAAGCTTCCAAAATGTTATCCAAAAAAGCAATAAATTGCAAATAACTCTGATTTATTAAATCAGCTGATAAACCTAGAATACTGGTTAGGAACCCACACTTGACCAGTTATGATGCTTGACAACCACAGACAAGTCATTATTTTCTGCAATAACTGATGATACAATGCAACAATCAATCCCCATGTAAGGCAATCTAAGTTTAGAGAAGGAAGAATAAGAGTGCAATATTACAAGCACCCAAAATGCTCATGAGTCTATGAGACTGGTTATGATCAGTTTACCAGGATATTATTACTGTTAATTTTAACATATTTAATATAAATAATGTTTATCTTTGTGCCTTTTAAAAACAGTAGGAAGGGCTCTTGCCAAATAAATGCAAGACTGTAACTTTCAGAAAGTTCAGGTGCTGAACATCACGTTTTCTTCTGCATTACATCTCTATGAATGTCTCCTCCAATCTTTTCCTGAAACATAGACTAAAAAACACAGGGCTAGATTACTTAGTTCAGCTTCAGTGCTTTAATACTCAGTGGGCCAGATATAAGGCTAAGCCCACATTCGCCTACTATAGTTTGCCACAAAAGACGTGAAGGAAAATATGACAGAAGACAAAAGGCTACACTTTCCGTATCATGAAGCCTAGGTACCTGCAAATTTAGTTTTTTCTGATGCCAGGAGAAGGGCAATGGTCCTGCCCAAGTGTGCAAATTCCCCATTCGGTTCCAAGCTAAGAAAGCAGGGCCAGTGAAGTACACGTCAATTTCTGATTGCTTTAGACCTAGCGACAAATACACCTAGAAAAACAATAGTAGAGCATGAGAGTTGTTTTAAAAAGATCCTGGTTTTAAATGTTACAAGCCACAATAATATGCTTAACAACACATACTCGCTGCCAGATGGCTTCCTGCCCGGTGAATGCCAGAGCCATGTTAATACCATGGAGGGCCATCCAGTCAATCTCTTGTTCCCAACGGTCCCAGTTCCACCACACGAAGGAATAACTGTAAGTGCAGACATTTTGATAGAAGCGGAACCTAAGGAGAAAAATACAATAAATGCATAAACAATACATTGAATGTGCTAATAGAATTGTTCCTCATACATTTTTAATTATCAATTCTCTATACTGTATACCACACTTGCATGATTCTCATTGTAATAGCAATAGCATTTAAACTTATAAACTGCCTCACAATGCTTTACAGCCTTCTCTAAGTGGTTTACAGGATCATTCTATTGCCCACAACAATCTGGGTCTTCATTTTACCAACCTTGGAAGGGTGGAAAGCTAGTCAAGCTTGAGCCGGTGAGAATCGAACTGCTGGCAGTCAGCAGAATTATCCTGCTATCCTGAATTCTAATCACATCACCGTGGAATAAGAAATTCCCTCTTTTATCACATTAAAAGTTATAATTTGGGAAGAATTGGCTACAAGTAAATAGCACCTAGCCAATCTTAACTGGTTATGAAAAATGTTCATAGCATCAGGCATAGTTAGTATTTTGGCTGAAGCTCACCAGGAATTCTGAGCTACACTGGACTATTTGGGGATAACCCTGAAAGAACACATTGACCAACCATTTAGGTAGTTTTGGGGAAAAAAAGTCAAAATGAACTGAGGCTTTATCTGTTTACTTGGAAAAGTCATCCAATGTGGTAGCCAGATCACATGAACCATGGGGCTTTAGCGCTGCCCATGGTAGAAAAGGATGACTCAATGGATGGAGATTAGCCTGTACTTGTTATCCTTTCATTCTAGCCACATTTGTTTTGTGTGGCCTAGCATTATACATGACAGTTTATCTTAGCCAGCCAATCAAGGGCATCATGAATGAGGAGTGAATTGTTAGTTATTTCAAGTGTTACAAGTAGTCCTTGACTTACAACAGTTTATCTAGTGACTGTTTGAAGTTACAGCAGCACTGAAAAAAGTGATTTATGGCCATTTTTGCTTTGACTGTCACAAAAAGGAGGGCACCTGGAGATCTCTGAAATCAGTAAAGGACACTGCATGAGCTACACTGGCTCAGTTTCTTTTGGAGCATAATTCAAGGTGCTACTCATCACCTTTACAGCCAGGGTATTATTGGGACACATACACCCCTCCCTAAGGGTATTTGCCCATTCTGGTAGATTAGATAGAGAGCATTCTCTTAAATCCATTCTCTTGAATTCTGCCACCTAGAGGGACCTAAGGAGCATGGCTTTTCCGTAGTAAAATAAAAACAACTGCAGATAGTCCTCGACTTACATCCACCTTTCAGTCCAGAATTTATGTTGCTAAGTGAGAAATTTTATAATGTTTGTTTTGCCACAGTTAAGCTAATCACTGCAGTTGTTAAGTGAGTCATGCAGTCCCCCATTGATTTTGCTTGTCAGGTTACAAGTAGTGATCATGTGACCTCAGGTCAGTGCCCAAATTTTGATCACATGACTAGGGTGCTGCAACAATACTACAGGTAGTCCTCGATTTATGACAATTGCCCCCAAAATTTCTGTTGCTAAGCAAGTCTGCTTTTAAGGATAATTTGCCCTATTTTACGGCCTTTCTTGCCACAGTTAAGTGAATCACTGCAGTTATCAAGTTAGTTTAGTGAATCTGCCTCCCCCATTGAGTTTGCTTGTCATATTCTGCGAATTTCATTTCGGCACCTGATGATTCAGGCTCAAAAGTTTCGGTCAATTGGCAGACTGGTGAATTTATCTGAAGCGGAACTCGGGGCCCGTACTTTAAAGATGCCTTCTCATATTTTCAAGGCGAAGCTCCAGCTTCGCAGAGGTTGGGGGACCCTTTTTTCTTCCTGCTCTTCCGATGTCGAATCACCTGTTGGGGCTGGTGACGATAATCTCTGCGGGGACAGGGGGCAATCTCTCCGGTAGTCGGAGCTGCGTCCCAGACCAGGAGACGTGGCAGCCGCAGAAATCCTTCAAGTAATGGTAGATCCCCGAGGCGGCGGCTACTCCGCTAGAGCCAGAGACGTTTATCGTGCCCGGCGTCTCCGAGCTCAGCCGGTATGTGTCGAGACCTCCAGGCCCGGCCAAAGACCTGTTCACGGATACAGCGAAGGCAGAAGCTGCCCTCGGGCCCAGAAGCCGCTCCAGGAGTTTCCGCACCGCTGTTGCCTGACGGGCTTCTTCTGCCTCCGGCGCCAAACGAGCTATCGCTTCCCATTGCCACAAAGGCCGGGAATTGTCAGCGGCTACGGCCGCCACTACGGCCGTCCAAAGCAAAAGCAACAGCGGACGCGACATGGAAAAGGGACTCTGATGGGAAGCTACAACACAGAGAAGTTCCGGAGAGCGATCTCTCCTGAGCACGTTGGCCAATGGCTGCCGCAGCTCCATTGCAGTCCAATTGCTTTCCTTGCCACGCTTCTACGACAATCACGGGAGCCGCTGCTGGGTGGCCAAATCCCAGCCTCCTTTAATTCGCGCGCGTTCTATACAGTTCCCTCAGATTAAACTGGATTTTGGGGTGTTTTGCAGAAGCGGAGAGAGGAGGGTTAGCAAAACTTTCAACGGAAGCCATAGAAATGTAAAATCGAAAGTTATAGAAATGTAAAAATGTAAAAACGAAACCACAGAAATGTAAAATCGAAAGATATTTCCAACCCACCAAAAAGGGCAGAAAAGCTAATTAAACCATCCACCAGAAGTGGCTCTCTAAGCTGTTTTTAAAAGCTTAAAAGCAGAAAATCCAAAATCAGAATTTAAATCAAGTGCTTTTCTTGCTTTTAAGTAACTACAGTGTAGTTATCACATAGGCATTTAAGAATTAAAAAAAAAAAGTTTTTAAATCAAGAGAATTACTTCTAAACATTCTTAGAATTTCTTTTTCTTCAGTCACGAAAAATCTCGAAAAAATGTGATTGAATGTTAAGATGGCAAGTTTGGTACAAGCTCAGTGTTATGCTGCTCCCCCTTTTTTTCTTCTGGTTATTTTGTTAGACAACTTCATAGCAATTTTTGGTTGAAACCTAAGGAAATATTCTGAAACATAGTCATGGAATTGCTGAAGGATGATGGAAAGACACATTCATAGAAAAAATTCAACTTCTCTCCCCATAACTAACTTCGCTTTATTGTAAAATTTTAAGCTCCTGGTTCATGCAATGATAACAAAAAAAAAACACTAAAAAAGGGAGCTATTTATAAAGATAACAATACTGTAGGACACGTCAACTACACAGTTCTTGTGAAGAGCTGGCTGATACACTTCGGCCATCCTTACTTCTTCAGGGCCAGGTACTGCTGTTTTCAAACATAAGAGGTGAGAGACATCAAAGAAGCAGATAACACATAGCACCACTTCATTCTAGTAATGACAGTAGGTTCAGTGGTAGAAATTGCCCAAGTGCCAAGCCTTAGATGTTGCTATTTCTTAGAATTAATCTGAGTGTTATGTCTAAAACTCAGACACACATAGCAACTACTCCATTCTGTATGCAAGGAACACAATGTTCTATGTTGAACTAAAACAGCCTCCACCTATGGATATTCTTAGTGTAGATCATACATCTTCCATATTACCTATTGATGTTCAAATTAAAACAAAAACTGAACAGTTCAATCACGAATTGTTTTTATCAAAAAAGTTTAAACGTTTAGAAGGAGTAAACAACCAAAACACACAAACCAATATCTCCAGTAATTAAGGATATAATTATTAGAAATGTGTAAGTATATGTAATAAACATATATGCTTCATGTGAGCAAATAACAGAATCACATTTTCTTCATATAAAATATTCAAATAATTCCAAGGACTTTTTGAACATTATATCCTATGGTATGTGAAAGACAGGACAGGAAAAGTGAAGCATAATAGTTTAGATAGAAAGGCCTTTAACTATGAATGCTCAATAGATGTCATCCAACAAGGTAACCAGATTATGAAACCAATAGAATAACAAATAACAGGGCTTCTTAGTCCAAACCTCTATTCAAGCATTTCAGACAAACAGCTGTCTAGTCTCTTTTTAAAAGCCTCCAGTGATAGAGCACCCACAACTTCTGAAGGCAAGCTGTTCCACTGGTTTATTGTTCTCACTGCCAAAAAATTTCTTAGTTCTAGGTTGCTTCTCTCCTTGATTAGTTTCCAAACCTCCTTGTCTTGCTTTCTAAAAGATTGACCCCCTCTTTTTTGTGGCAGCCCCTCAAACATTGCAATACTTCTATAATGTCACTCCTATTCCTTTTCACTAAAAGCCTCCAGCCTCCTAATTATTTTTGTTGCTCTTCTCTGCACTTTTTCCAAAATCTCAACATATTTTTCATATTCTGGTGACAAAAACTGGATGCAGTATTCCAAAAGATCAGGACTTTTATTGTGACAATTATCCTATCCCATCCCATCCACCTTGCAAATTTGAATATGTTTCCTTCCCTCACTTGTCTTTGTGTGAACTAGGGAGAAGATTGGGCGTTGGTATAATTACCTGAGAACGCCTTTTCTATCTATGCCTCAAGAGAGTCCAGGAATGGGTTAAGGTCCTCCTTCTGATGTCATCAAGCTGAGTCTGCCACTATAAAAACGCCAGCCCCTAACTGGCCCACCCATCTTTTAGGCGAAGGTATTTGACAGATATGTCTCTGGAAGATAAAGAAGAAATTAACATAACCCTTCCTCGACCATCATGACCACACATACAGGGTGGGGCTGGACTCTCTTGCAGCATAGATAGAAAGGGCGTTGTCAGGTAATTATACCAACGCCCATTCTCATCGTCGCTGCGACAAGAGTCCAGGAATGGGATATACCAAAGCCTGCATATCCACGGGAGGGCCCACAGCTCGTCAGTCACTCTGACTGTGGAACCACAGTGGAACCAAGTACCCTCCATCCAAATGATGCCTGGGCAGAAGCAAAGGTGTCCAGGCGGTAGTGCCGTATAAATGGCGACGGTGAAGTCCAGGTAGCCGCCTTGCAAATCTCCTTCAGTGATGCTTGAGCTGCCCAGGCAGCGGATGTAGTGGCACTCCTCGTGTATGTTAGGGGCCAGGCCTTTATCCAGGCCATCTTGTAAAAAGCTGAGCACCTCTGCCACAGAAACTGAAGAAGGATCTATGGCCAAAGGCATGCACCAGGTACAGAAAGTCCTCCAAGTTGCATCATAGATATAAGTTGTAGACAGTTTCCGGGAAGCTTGGATGGTGTCAATCACCCTTTCGGGAAAATTGGAAGCCCTCATAGATTTCTGCTCAAACGCCAAGTGGTTAAATTGAATCACTGAGGGTTCAGGTGTAATAATGCCCCCTGATATAGGGAGACCTAGCAGCAGGGATCCTCCATGGAGGGGCCACCGACAGGGTCACCAGGTCCCCGAACCAGGGTCTCCTGGGCCAATGTGGCACCAGTAGAATGAGCTCCACCTTCTCCTCCAACAACTTCCAAATAACTGCCGGAATGATGGGAAGCGGGGGAAAGGCCAGAAACCTGGTGAAGAACGTGCTTACCTGTGCATTCTGAGGGGAGGCAAAGAGATCTACTGTTGGGAGACTGAATCGATGAGACAAGTCCAGAAAGAGGGAGGGAGGCTCCACTCTGCTTGGTCGACCGCAGACCGACTCAACCAGTTGGCTTGGACATTGTTAACCCCCGAGATATGGTCCGCTTTGATTAAAAAAAGGTGTCTCTCCATCCACCTCCCTAGGTGCTCTGCCTCAATCAGGGCCCTGGACCTGACACCCCCTGCCTGTTGACATGGGCCTTTACGGCCACATTGTCGGTCATGACCAACACATGTTGACCCATCACCCTGTTCCGAAAGTGTTTCAGGGCTAGGAAGATAGCCCTGAGCTCTAACTAGTTGATGGGGCATGCCCTTTCTGCTGGAGACCAACATCCCTGGGCTATTTCTCCCTCCAGATGGGCTCCCCAACCATGAAGACTAGCATCTGTGGTGAGACATATCCTGTCTGGCTCTTTGAAGGGGAGACCATTCTCTAGGGCCCGGGACTGCCACCATGTGAGGGACCATATGACCTGGGAAGGAACCTTCATGGTCGAATGGCTGGTTCCTGCCCTTTGAAATGGGAGCAAGAACCATTGGAGTTTCCTGGAATGGAGACAAACCTATGGGACAATCCCCATGCAGGAGATCATCTTTCCCAAGGTTTGGGACAGTAGAGACAACGGAACAGTGGGCAGCCGCCGAATCTGGAGGATGCCACTGCAAAGGCTCTCCCCTCGATCCGGGGAGAGGAACGCCTCGCAGAGTGATGTTTCTATAATCACCCCAAGGTGGAGCAACCTGGGTGTTGGGGAAAGGTGACTTTTCTGAGGTTGATTGAAAACCCATGGTCTTGTAGAGTCTATGATGTGATGTGAAGGTTGCGATGGGCCAAGTGGATTGACTGCGACAGGATGAGAATGCCATCCAGGTAGCATAGGACCCTCACTGGAATGGTGCAAAGTGAAGCTTCCAAGGCTGCCAAGACCTTCAGGAAGACCTGCGGAACCGACAAGAGACCAAACAGTAGAGCCCAGTATTGGTAATGGGCGTTCTGATAACAAAAATGTAGAAACTGGCAGTGATGGAGCCAAATAAGGATATGGAGGTAAGCCTCTATGTGGTCTATAGAGGAGAGGAGAGGTCATCCTCTTGAATGCTCTCAAGGACTTCTTCCCTGCCAAGGAGAGAACCTTCCTCTTGTCCTTGGTTTCCATCAAATAAGGGTCAAGGGCGTCGCCAAACAGCTTCTCACCTGCACATGGAGCTGATGCCAACTTCCATTTTCGGCGAGAGTCGGACTGCCAGTTGTGCAGCCAAAGCAGCTGTCTGGCTGTCACAGAAGAAGCCATGGCCCTGGAAGCAAATTTGGCCAAGTTCAGGGTGGCATCTGCTGTAAATTCGCTGCTGCGATTATTTTGTTGATGTCCTGGTGTACCCTGAATTGGGTGGCCGGAAACCTCTCCTGAAGCTGGTGGAGCCAGCGTGAAGAGGATCTCGTAAAAAACAAGGCTGCCGTGGATGTTTTAATCGCCCAAGCTGCAGCCTGGTGTGTGCATTTGAGAGTTTGCTCAGATCACCTGTCCTCTGTTTTGAGCACATGCTCTGGTTCGGTGGAGGTACCAGAGGAGAATGAAGCCACCACCGGAGCATCTACAGACAGCACGACCAGGGCACTGGCCAGGGACGGTCTGACATTGTAGAATTGTCTGTCATGAGCAGACCGGTGAAGTCCCGCCCTTGGGGAGGTGCATTGTTCCTTTACTAAATCAAGAAAGAGAAGGGGGGAGGGGAGAACCTCTGTCTGCACCACTGGCTTGGAAAATGGAATCTGAGTGGGCAGAAGCGGATGCTTGTGGTTCAGGGGCCACCTCCTCAGGACTAAGTTACGCAGTGACCAAGGCCTTGTGTAACAAGGGTTGAATAATGAAGGTTTAAACACTCCCGCAACAGGAGGCTTATCAATTCTGAGGTCCTCCTCCTCAGACATATTGGGATCTATAAGTTCCCCTTCCTTCTCTTCCGAGTGACCAGAATAGCTATGGTCAGAGGATTTGGAATAAGTATCCTCCTCTTCCTCCCTCCACTCCGAGTGGGTGGGCTGACAGGAGAAGCAATGTCTAGGCATATCCTTTTGATACTGGGGGACCCCTTGTGGAAACCTATAGGTTACCAAGGCTGGGCCCTCCTTGAGGGTGAAGGAAATGTTTGAATCCTGCTAGGCCCTGTCTAGTAGCTACCGTGACTATTTCCCTGAGATCTTCAGGCCTGTTCTCCTCCGAGAGCAGGCCCGCAGCAGTGGGGGTGTATGTTGCTTCAGGTCTAGGCCTGAATCCACCCTGAACCCCTTGACCACCCAGGAAGGAATGGCCAGGTCCCCATGTAGCCTGTGTAAAGTAAGGCCCTGACCTGCTTAAATCCTGGGGTTCTTCCTCTACTCTCTCATGTGACTAGAAGCAGATTCCCCTCCCTTAGAAGGAATCTCAGGGCTAATATGCACCTCCCCAGAGTGAGTGACTTGATTGATCTAGGCTTACATTTGTACTAACCTTTTTTCAAACTGTTTTTCAAGATCAACATGCCTTCTCTTCTCAGCCCTAAGCTCAGCTTTTGAAGACTTTCAAGGAACTAGGGCTTTGACTTTGATCTTTGCAGCAACTTCTCTGCTGGTGGAAGGAGCTCTGTCTTTTCCTCTTTCTCGAAGGGGCTAGTGCCTCTTGGGCCTGTTCCAATTCTTTGGTAGTAGGCTGGGACGCTTCCCTTTCCATATTGCAAACAGCACAGACACCAAGGGTGCTGTGAGCTTCTCCTATGAGGTGCTGTCTAATGCAATGAGCCAAGCAAGTTAAAAACCGTGAGGCCCTGAGGAAGCATTCCACCCCCCCACCTCCCAATAAAATGGCCACCGGTTGATTCAAATGGCTGCCTGCCACATAGAGGAACTCCAGAATGGCTTCGTTACCTCCTTTGCTCAATAGGCCCCGAGCGATCAAGTTGCAGCGAAACAGCTGAGAAGCAGTAGAATAAAGCTCAGAAGTCAGCTGTGGAGTGGTTCAGGAGGCAGCGGCAGCAATCTGCGCAATTGCTGGAGCTGCGTGGAAGACTTTTAAGAAGGCTTTTAAAAAGGCTTCCTGGTTCCGCAACCCTTTGTGAGGCAGCGCTGAAGCCTCAATGCTGCAGGAGAACGGATCCCCGCTCTCCTCTTTGCAATAACTTTTCTGCTGGTATTTTACTTTTCAAACCTTCTCTTAGCTCTGTTAAAACAATCCTTCCAGAGACTAGTTCTTAGACAAGAAGCTGAGCCAAAAGATGGGTGGGCCAGCCAGGGGCTGGTGTTTTTATAGTGGCAGACTCAGCTTGATGACATCAGAAGGACCTTAACCCATTCCTGGACTCTCGTTGCAGCGACGATGAGAATGTCTGTGACTTTTCTCAAGATTTTCTTGACTAGTCTTAGGCTTTGGGCTTTTCCTCCTGTCCCTCAAGGCCATTCCCTATGCATTTTACATTAGGTACTATGGACCAGTCGTTATTTTTGTGGCAATTACTTCCCAGGGTTGTTGAGAAAAATTGGGAGTGTTGTACATGCAGATATGTGATCTTGGAAGAAAAACTGGATATAAATCTAAGAAGTAAATAAACATAAGTATCTTATGAAATATAAGAGTAAAGCCTTGTCTTAGAGGAAGTGGGGAGGTGATTTAATTTTGCTTAAGATGAGAAAGTCCTGGTTTATGAACAGAATGGGAAACTCCCTATTTGTGGTTGTCCTGTAGTAGAACTTGCATCAGGATAAATCACAAATCCTGCTACCCAAAATCAAAGAGCTTCTAAAAGCATTTAAACCAGTTACTAAGCCAAGTAATAGTAGTAGTAATAATAACAGATGTATTTCTTAAAATTGGAATGAGTATAAAAGAAAAGAGCACACCTTCTTTGCTTAGACATGTCCTATATTTTTATTTCATGTATTAAAAATGGAATGGCAATACTATTGGAAGGCCAGAATGGTAGAATCAGGTCCTGCAATTGTACAACTCAAGCACAAAAGTGGTGGACATAAGGCAACAGGAGAGAAAAGGTGGGTGGCTAACTGTTGAAAAGCTTTCCTCTTCCCTCCCCTCCCCTCATGATTCCTGAAAGAAGCACACAAAGCAATTCTTTTTCTTATAAAAGGAAGGAAAAGGAAGGAGGTGCATGGGCTGAAGATGGAACAGAAGAAAGCATTTGATTTAATCTCCATGGCAACTTCTTTGGCGTCTGTGGTTGAAACAAAATGTTCAACATTGACAGAAGCACCTGGATAATTGTGAACAAAACGTTATATATTGTGTTGCTCTTACCAAATTATGACTTTTAGAGCAAGTATTTAGTGATTTCCAGCTGCGAAGGCAATTCACAAAACAGGAAACAAAGTAAGTGGTAATTGAATGAGAGTCATTTGTACACTAACTTTGCTCACCGTTTTTTGCCCTGTACCCTTGCCTTAGAAAGTTTTGAAAAAAGCAGACACTGATTGCAGATAATCTGTACCTCCCATTTAATGCTAACTACTAAAAACCTTCGTTACCCTCCAAGGCAATCTTTTAAACCATAATGTGGCCCCATATGTGACATGATAATTTTTGGATAGTAAGTGTTCTCATCGTCTTACTCCATGTAAAAGAGAGAATAACCAGAAATAATAGGCATTTTTTTTCAGTTGATAAATAATTGGGGGGAGGGGGTTAGCTCTGTTCCATAACACAGCAGTACATATATTAATATGATGTATCTTCCTATCATCATGGAAGTTAACCATTATTGATCCAACAACGTGGGAGTTCAAAAATATCTCATTAGCAGTAAAACTGGTTGCCATAAATGAAACAATAACATCTCTCCTAATATCTTTCAAGAAAACAAAGATGGCTGATACTCGTAGAATTACGTGCAGTGGAGTGCATAATGGGAATGTTTGCGAGAGAAAAATACAATCACCATTGTCGCTGATGTAATCAGAAAAGCACCAGCAATGGGGAGGCTTGAAGTCATAACCAATGAAGGCAGAGTTCAAAACCAGGAGTGTTACAACCCTTAGACTTAGCTTCCAGACTAGAGATAAGTACAGAAGTAATATAAGGAATGGATCATATTTTGTGGTAACAGTATACAGCATGGAAGGGACACACATTTTTTTGATTTGGCATATGAGGAAGTAATCTTAAATGTATCACCATTCTCTAGGAGAGAGTGACATTTCATTCAGATATTTGAACAATTCTCTGTAAAAATCAGTCACCCAGAATCCAATAGACTAAATAAGAGGACAAAGTAAAAGAAAAAAATGGCAGCGAGCTATTCTCCTTTTAATTCCTTCCCATAATTTCTTTCCTTTGAAGTCAGATCTGATTCAACATAAGATACAAAAGTTCTTTTCCTATAAACAACATTCAAGCATTAAGTCACCTGTAAACTGGCTAAAGGAATGAATGGGCTTCAGACATGGTCCCAAAGGCTATTTGAAAAATTCTGTACTTTTGGGATCAAAGCTATGTATGTCTCCCCCCATGACTTAAGTAATTTTGCTGTTGTCAGTACCTCATTATAGAGTTCTAATAATTGCATTTCTAATTTTTTTGGAGCTTTTTATACAGTTCCCCTGGGAGACCATCTGGTCCCGGTGTCTTATTGTTTTTCTGTTTCAGGATTGCTTCTTGCAGTTCTCTTAATGTCATTTCCCTGTTTATCTCTTCTTTATCCTCTTCCGGGATCGCAGGTAGCCCTTTTCCTTCTAAGTAATATTGGATATTTCCCTCTGGTACGTCTTTCTTACTATATAATTCCTCAAAAAAACTTTTTAACAATGTTTTTTCTTTTCAGTTTGATGTTGTAGCGTATCATCAGCATCCTCCAATTGTTGAATTGCTCTTTTTTCTTTTTCTTTCTTAAGTCTATAGGCTACCCACAATCCGGCTTATTCGCGTGTTCAAAATAATTCCATTTTATCTTTTTCATGTCTTGTAACCATTCATTTTGTACTAACTATTCAATTTGTGTCTAACCATTATCCTCTCCATATCTGCTGTCTTATTATGTGGTGTTTTTTCTAACTCCTTAAGAGTATCTAGTAGTTTAGTTTAGTTGTTCTCCTATTTTTTCCTTGTATCATGTATTATATGAAATTGCTAGGCCCCTGATGTATGCTTTAGTTGTGTCCCATAGGTTTGGAATTGATGTTTGTTGTTTTTTGTTTTCCTTCAGAAAGAACTCCAATTTTTTCCCCATCATCTTAACACATTCTTTTTCTTTTAGGATCTTCTTGTTTAGCATCCATCTTCTGTTTTTTCAATTCTTTCCAAATTATTTTAATAGGATTATGGTCCACCCATGTTTTAGTTTCCATTTCTATTTCTTTTATATTATGTTCGATTTCCACATTTGTCCATAACATATCTAGACTTGACCATGATGTGTGTGGTGCTGAATAGTAAGTATACTGTTTTTTGTCTGGATTTCTTTCTCTCCGTATATCTTTTAATCCTAATTCTTCTGCCATTTGATCAAATACCTGGTAATGTTTTCCTTTTCCTTTTTCCCCCTGGATTTTCAGGGAAGATTCGGACTATCAATTAATTCAAAATTACAGGCCCATATCCCTTTTAAATGTTGATTATAAAATATGTATGTCCATAATGGCAGAAAAATTCTGTACTTGAAATCTCCACAAGTTTTCATCCTCCAGGTTTCACTTGACTACTCCTTTCCTACATTCACATGTCAAAAAGTAATGGCAGAACCTCAAAAAAAGTGCAACAACACATTGATTCGCTGGATCAACTTTGGAAAATTTCCCCAATCTTCTGGTGCTCTATAGAAGTTCTTCAACTCTTTCAAGCTGATGGGAGAATGAGAACCTAAGCACAATATATATGGAAAAAATCAATTTTAGGGAAATTGTTCCAGAGTTTGGGAATGGAAAGAAATGGAAAACTGGAACAACTTGCAGCAAATACCTCATAGCTTCTATGACAATCCTGACTCCTTCCATAGTAAAAAGAGTTATGTCCTTCTGGAAATGCAGGCGCAACGGATAGAGAGATCAGGCTCAGAAATTTAAGAGGCTGATGGCAGATCTCAGTCTATTCAAGGAAGAGAGATATCTCTGCATATTGTCTCTTCCTTCTCCCAATATCAAGCAAACTTCTGATGTCCAACCAGTCAAAGGTACTTGTGCGTGAAGTGTGACAAAAGGCAGCAAGAAAAATGTCCAGTTGTTTAAAAGCTGGAGAGGGGCTGATAAAATGGAGATGAAACCCCAGGCAGCCAGCAACTGTTCTTACTTGTCAATGAGTCCTCCTTCCTTCAGCTTGAAATAAAAAAACTTTTCCAGGGTGTTGGCACACTTACAATAATCACTCTCAGGAGGGTTATACTCACGACAATTGGTAATGACACGTTGCAAGTCAGCAATAAAGAGCTTCTTGGTAATATAATAGCGATTCTTGAGCCTTTCTGTCATCGTCTTCAGGTCTGCAGGAGTAGGTGGAAGGAAGAAATATGATCAATTATACAAGAGAAAATGCAAAAATGCATATGCCTTTCTGACCTTATAATTAATTATAAGTTAACAACTCTCCTAAAAACAATGAAAAGGAGGAAAGACACATGGGAAGAAACATGTAAATGCAAGCTACAAAATCTTCTAGAATTGTATATAGTTCATGAGTTCATGTAAATGCAATTAGAAGTATCAAAATAGCTGAAGGTAAACTCAGACCTCAGTTTTAAGAAAATTAGTAGAAACTGCCAGTAAAATATTTCCAAAAGGCAACTCTGTTAGCTTGTGAAAAACACAAAGCCAGTAACTGTTTGAAGATTAATTTAGTTATTATAAATAAGTGTTATTTTATAATAACATTGGCTTGAAGTGGAGCATAAAAAGCTCACCTATTTGGCAATTTGTGCCTCCCACTAATAGCCTCAATTGATTTCAATGACACACTTGCCAAAAATCAATAACTTACCTTCCACTATTCTGATGCCCAAAATTAGATGGTAAAATTTACTGAACACCAAAATACTCCAAAATATCCCACCTGGAAAATTAGAATATTTCATCCTTTCTTACATACATAACAGAGGCTTTTCATCTGCTGATGTCCTCAACACCTTTCATCTGGTCCCTGACTCAAAATGTTTCCCATTCCTAATTTGTGCTATAATAGTGTTAAGAATACTGCAAATCTTTTTGGTTGTCTATGAAAAAGATAATGGATCTTTTTGGATGTCCAATGGAAGATAATCTCCCCCAGTTCCATAACATTATTATAATCCAATGAGAGATTACTCTCCAACCATTTAAATAAGTTATTTTTTTCACATCAGTTACATATATTGACTGAACCCATAATTCTTTTACTCAACAGAGCTGATTACTTCTTCAGGCAAACTCCATATCTAGCTGCCTACCAATGGGAAAGCGGATAATCTCATAGTAGTCAGGAGCTTCAGATTTCTTCACTGGTTCCATAAATGGCCATGCACTAGGATGGGTCTGATAAGTGAAAAGACAGTTAGCAACTTGAGTAATAGTTTTTTTTTTTCAAACAAACAAACAGTAGTAGGTATTTGAGACATATTAGTAGTCTTCTGTTGGATGGGCAAAGGAAAAATGGAAAAAGGGAAGGTATTTCTGGCAGAAAGAAAGTTTTCTACCAGAAATATATTTTTTCACATTCTGAATATTTTAGTTTAACTTCTTGCTAAACAAAGAATTGTTTCACTCAAAATCCCACCCAAGCTTACTTTTAAAAATACTGTTTTGTTACCACTGTTTATGTGTTTTGTTTTCCATAATATATATTGCCCTTTTATCTATTTGTATTATAATCAATTAATATATATTCTGCTTGTACTTAAAAAAAAGAAAATAGCTACAGGTAATCCCTGGATTAATGACTAATTGGGATTTTCATAATTAAGCGATGTGGGTTATAAAGCGAGATATCATGTGACTTCACTGCTTAGATATGTCAATCCTAAGCAATCCATGTAACTGTCGTTAAGCAATGATCACAGGTCATTAAGCAAGGATCTTCTCACAATTTCTTGCCAGCTTCTAATAGTGCAAGTCAGTGGGGAAGCCAGGAGGAAGTTGCAAGCCTCACATGTTTTGCAAGTCAATGTAGGGGTTGGTGCACAAATGGCACAATGCTAGTGCAACAGGACTGGGGATGGTTGCTGACAGGAGAGGAAAACTTACCAAACCGACTAGTGACTTTCTGCCGGCTTCCCCTTTGTCTTTACTTGTGAGAAGCCATGGGACTGCTGTGACAGCTGGAACCTCGAGGATCAGTCATAAATACCACTCATTCAGCGCTGTTGTTAACTTCCAACAACCTCGGAACAAGTGGTCATTAACCGAGAGCTACCTTTATTTAAAATCTAGTCCTGACTATGCTATTCACAGATCAGGGCAAAAAATTCAGGAAAGGTTCGGCAAGTTTCACTTGTCTAGACGCCCCAACACTGAGTAACCACACTTCATTTTGACTGTCCTTTTGACTGTTAGAGAAAAGTTCCCATTTATACTCCGTGATCCTGGAGTCCCGATTACCTTGATTTGAGCAAGAAGATTTTTCAAAGTAGTGTACAACTGGTCTGGATCCTTGAGCTCCTTTCTGGAAGGAAAAATTTTAAAACAAGAGGTTTTGGTGATGAAAATATTCGAAATTGCAAGAGCGACAGAGTATTATAGAGATTTCTAAATGACCACACCAACTCCAACTGGCTTCCCTCTAGAAAAGTGAAGATTATGTCAACTTTCATGAGATCATCACAGTGTCTGGATGAACCTATGGTTTAATGTAGCAATATATTTGCTTCCGGTTTGGGCTTCTTCAGCGATGGACTGAAATCGCGATTGTCTGTGGTTTTGATCCGTGCTTGCCACTGGAGCGCCCCGAGCCGCCCAGTTTTGGGGCTGAAGTCACCCTGTAGAAGTGGTGAAGAAGGGGGAGCCATCAGAGGGATTGAGGAGAGCTGCATCTTTCTTCCTCGGCTGGCCATCACTCCCTTTCCCAAAGGCGGTTGCAGCAGTGGTCAGAAATGGCCACCACAAAGAAAAACCCGATCGGACAAGATTGTGCAGGAGGAAGTTTAAAGGAGAAAGTTTGACTGACCGGATGGAATGGAGAACATCTATTTAAGGGACCTGGAACCTGAATTTTAAAGACTAATGCTATTCCTAAAAAGGATTTAGACCTGCAAAAGAGAAAGGGAAAGGAAACAGAATTGGCTTTTTTTTCTCTTTAACATTGACAGTTTTAACTGACTTGGAATATTAAGAAGAAGAAATTCGAATAAGAAATTGATACTAATCCACTTTGACATTAATAGGCTATTTCTAGCTGAAAATAAAGTGTCAAAGGGATAAAGATTCTTGGATAATTTAAAAACGTTATTTAAAAAAAGAAAGAAAGCAGCGGAGGGAAAAAGGAAAAAAGGGTGGAATCTGGAAAATGGAGGAGACCACCTGGAACTTAAAAAAATTGATAGTGGAATTTTAACAAGTCTTGCAAAAGATACATTGTAGCTGAAACTTTGTTACAAGAGAACAAAGCCCCTGGAAAGAGAAAGTGAGAAAAGAAGCAAGAAACAGTTTTGGATTATTGGATGATTCCTGGAACTCTGGATGGAGGATCCTAATGAAATAAAATAAAATCAATTGGGGGTTGTTTAAAATTTTTTAAAATGGCATCACTCCTTGAAGAGTTAAAAATGAGACTTAAAGAACAAAAAGAAGAAGCACAAGACGGGAGAGGATCTTTTGGCTTCGTATTTCAATTTTTAGAAATGGACATCTTGAACTATGAAAAACAACAAGAAACGCTTGCAGAACAAGAAGGGCGGGACAACGAAGCCACCTTTAATGACCAAGCAACTTTAAGCGGGGTAGAAAAGGGAAAGTGGGGAAAGGGAGTTAAGAACTGAAGCACTAAAGCAACAACCAAAAAAACCAGTAATTTGAAAAGTAATCATAACATCAGGAAGAAGCAGAAGGGAGGATCACAGAAGGGAGAATCAGATAGAAAAGGGAATAAAAAGGGAAGGGAGAAGAAGAGAGGGTAGAGGGAAAGGAAAAGAAGCTACAAAAGACAGAAACAAGATATAGAGGTACACGAAAAACGTACAAGAATTAAAGGGATAAACCTATAAAATATTACAAGTGGTAAGAAAGAAAACACTGAAATACAAAGGCAAGGAGATTGTGGTTTTAAAACAAATACCTGGAAGAGAGAGAGAGATGAGAAGAGAATACCAATTCCTGACTAAAATGTTATTGAAAAAAGAGGTGAATTATAGATGGCTGATTCCAGAAGGACTAATGTTTACATGGCAAGAACAGAGACACAGAATTGATTCAATTGAGAAAGCAGAATTATTCTACGCAGAATTTTTTGGAAGGAGAGAGGAAGAGGCAGAAAAAGAGATCTCACTAATTGAATTCCAAGAGGACCAAATGGGGACTGAAAAAGAAGAAGGCGCAGTAGGTGGACAGGTGGAAATCAAAGAACAACATGAACTAAGATCTACGAGAGCTGCCAAACCTAATTACAAAATATAATCATGGAAGAGAAAAAACTGACTACAATGAATATAAATGGACTTAACTTAGCTGTTAAAAGAAGGAAATTTTTTCATAAATTAGAGAAATTAAAATTTGATACAATTTGTCTACAAGAAGTACATATTAAAAAACAATATGAACTGTTGGCACAGCTAAAATTAGGGAAAATATTTACTTCTTTGACTTAATGTAAGAAAAGAGAAGTGATTTTATATATTAAAGAGACTATCCCAGCATAATTGATTCATACTGATGAAGATGGAAGAGTATTAATGGTGGAAATAATGGACAATAATATGAAAACATTCCTGATTGCAATTTATACTCCGAACGATAAACAAGAAGAATTCTACAAAAAATTACACGTGAAAATAATTGGACTGGACTATGTTAATATAGTTATGATGGGAGATTTCAATGGAATTGTAGACAATAAATTGGATTATACAGCAACAACAAAGCAAAACCGAAAGACTCTCCCTAAATCCTTTTTTAAAATGATAGATGAAATAAACTTAAAAGATATATGGAGAGAAAGAAATGCTAAAACCAAACAATATACTTTTTTTTCAAATAGACATTTATCATGGTCCAGAATAGATATGATTTGGATCTCAACAGAACTAGTATCTAACATTCAAGAAACAAACATTGAAACAAGTACTTGGGCAGACCACAATCCAATGACAATTAAATGGAAAGGACAAAAAAGAAGATCGAGATGGACACTAAATAATACTATTTTAAAGGAAAAAGACTTTACACAATGGATGGAGAAAGAATTGGCCTTCTTCTTTAGAGAAAATAAAAAAGAAGATACTTCAATTCAGAATGCCTGGAACACAATGAAGGCATATGCCAGAGGCTTGATAATAGACTATACAAGGAAAAGGAACATCGGGAAAAGGCAAGCCACTAAAGCTTTAGAAGATGAACATAAAAGACTACAGAAAATGCCACAGAAAAAAGACATTAAACTAAAATTAGACATAATTAAACATAAAATGAGTCAAATAGAGAAAGAAGAATTGGCACAGAAAATTAGAAGTGCTAAACAGAACTACTTTGAAGATGCAAACAAACCAGGTAGATGGTTAGCATACAAATTGAGAAAGGAGAAAGAATCAAGGAAAATATTGCAGTTAATAGATGATCAAGTTTGCTACGGCAATAAAAAGAAAAAGGAAATTATTTGAGACTTTTATGGGCAACTATATAAGCAAGAGAATATTGATGAGGAAAGAGTCAAACAGTACTTACAGAATGCTAACCTACCTAAGATACCTAAAGAGACTGAAAAAATGTTAGAAAGCAATATAACAATGATGGAATTAACTGAAGCACTTAAGAAGCAAAATAATGGAAAAGTCCAGATGGGCTTCCGGAAGAATTTTATAAAACATTACAAGAACCGCTGAGTCTTCCGTTGCTAGAAGTCATGAACGAAGTTCAAAAAAACCAATTCATCTTTATACCTTGTTTCTGATTTCTGATTGTTTTTGATTGTTGAAATACAAGAACAATACAAGAATTGTTGAATACAAGAACAATTACATTAAACTTAAACAACAGATAGCATTAGATTTGATGAAATGGGAAAATCTACAACTGTCATTAATAGGGAGAATTTCAACAATCAAGATGAATATCCTACCCAGAATTTTATACCTGTTTCAAACAATACCAATTAGGCTTGGAAAAGACTATTTTGAAGATTTAAATAAAATTGTGTTGAAATATATATGGCAAGGAAAGAAAGCGAGAATAAAGTTAAAACTTTTACAAGATGCTAGAACTAGAGGAGGATTTGGTTTGCCTAATTGGGAGTTGTACTACCAAGCTACAAATTTGATGTGGGCTAAGGAATGGATAACATTAAGAAATACTAGATTGTTGACACTAGAAGGACATGATTTGTTGTTAGGCTGGCATGCTTTTCTATGGTATAAGGGAACTAAAACACAGGGCTATTTTAGAAGACATCATATACAGGAATCTTTGTGATTAAATTGGGAGAAGATTAAAAGACAATGTTATTTGAAAATTCCATTCTGGTTATCGACTATTGAAGCATTTTCCTATCCTATAATATACAAGAAGGAACAAATAGTTAGATATGGGGAAATATTGGATGAAAAGGGTGAACTTAAATCGATGCAAAAACTAGAAGAACAAGGTATAAAGATGAATTGGTTTTCATTTGCGCAAATACATTCAAGGTATGATGAAGATTTTAAAACAGCAGGATTCTATGATAAATTGACTGACTTAGATAAGATTTTGACAGGTACCGATGAAAAGGTGATTAAAAATTATATGGTTATTTATTGGAAATTAAACTAGAAGAAGAACAAGTTAAAGAAACTATGATTGCTTGGGGAAAGAATTTTGGATATGGGATTGGTTTAGAGAAATGGCAAAAATTGTGGTTTCAAAATTATAAAATGACAATGTCAACAGCATATAAAGAACATTTGTATAAGATGTTTTACAGGTGGCATTTCCCTCCGACAAGAATAGCAAGAATGTTCAGAATAAATCCCAAAAATGTTTGAAATGTCATCAGATACCTGGATCATATTACCATATGTGGTGGACTTGTGAGGATGCTAGAAAATACTGTACTAAAATTCGCATGTGGTTGGAAAAAAATGATAAAGAAACATATAGACTTGAAACCAGAGATTTTTTTATTGGGAATTTTACCTGATACATATAGTAAAGATTTGAAATACCTGATTGTAAATGTATTAACAGCGGCTAGGATTGTATTTGCTAAAAACTGGAAAAATGAGAAAATACCATCGCAGGAAGAAATCATTAAGAAAATATTGGAATGTGCTGAAATGAGTAGATTGACATTTGAAATTAGAGAACCAGAGCATAAACAATTTTATAAAATTTGGGACCTTTTCTATCAATGGTTAGATAATAAAACACAATAATAGAATATCTAAAATTTTAGAAAATAATGAATATATAAAGATGTATTTCTTTTTTTGATATCATATCTATAAAATATTTTTAGGATAGATTTGGGAGGATTATGTGAATTGTTATAAAATAAACTAAGTAAATTATAGTTATCTCGTAAAGTATGAATGAATAAAATTATAGGCAAATGATTGTTTAATAATGATACTGGGGTATTCAATCTTTGATTGATAATATGAGTTATCATGCAATGTAATTGTAATTGAGACTATGAAACAGATGCACAAAAAATTGGTAAACCAACCGACACACTGCTTGTACATTTATGAAAGAAACCTGGATGTTTTTATGTTTTGTTTGTTTTTGTTTGTCTTTAAAAACCAATAAAACTTGTTTAAAAAAAAGAGTTAAAAATGAGACTTAAAGAACAAAAGAAGAAGAAAAAAGAAAAAAGAAGAAGCACAAGACAGAAGTGGATCTTTTGGCTTCATATTTCAATTTTTAGAAATGGACATCTTGAACTATGAAAAACAACAAGAAACGCTTGCAGAACAAGAAGGACGGGACAACGAAGCCACCTTTAATGACCAAGCAATTTTAAGTGGGGTAAAAAAGGGAAAGGGGGGAAAGGGAGTTAAAAACTGAAGCAACAACCAAAAAAACCAGTAATTTGAAAAGTAATCATAATATCAGGAAGAAGCAGAAGGGAGGATCACAGAAGGGAGAATCAGATAGAAAAGGGAATAAAAAGGGGAGGGAGAAGAAGAGAGGGTAGAGGGAAAGGAAAAGAAGCTACAAAAGACAGAAACAAGATATAGAGGTACAGGAAAAACGTACAAGAATTAAAGGTATAAACCTATTTAAGAGACAATGGTTAAAATTTAATTTAAGGAGAGGATTCTACAAGGGTGCATGGGATAACATTGTTATATAATATGTTAGATGATTAAAGTGATAGAAAAAATTTCTATTGGTATGTAGTGGAATATTTGTTTGTAAAGAGAATAAGGCTCTCAATGATTTAAAAAGAACATTTAAAAAAAACTGAAAAGAAACATGGAAGATTTTTATCAGTTGATAAGATGAATAAGAATAAAAACTTTATTGACTACTGTTAATAACTATTGTTTGGTTTTTTATTTAAAGACAGTAATAAGTAAAATATGAAATATAGATGGTTAAGGTGAAAGACAACTGATATTACTAGGTAATGTTTGTTAAAAGAAATAGAAATGTAAAAGATTGTTATTAATATTAATGGCAGAGCTGTACTTGAATAGAATAATTATTTCATTTACTATTGTTATACATATATACACAGATAAATATACATATGTATTTTTTTCTTTTAAGAATTTAGTCTGTATTTTAAGGGAATGTACCAAGCAGAATTCGATTGAAAATTTTATGTGTTATAAAATAGAGGTTAAAAAACGAATGTTATAACTGTAAAGATGTAACTTAAATTTTTAAATAAGATTTGAAAAAAGATACAAAGGTGTTATACTCCAGTCTAGTAATTACAGGGGAAATTTTGTTTTATGAGAAAAGATAATATGAAATTGTAAACAGGACAGATGAAAGTATAAAAACATGGATTAGAAAGATTTTAAAAATTAGAAAAAGATATGTAATTGAATTAAGAAAGGAATGAGATAATTCAAAATAAGGCTATAGGAAATAAAGAAAGGGAAAAGCTATTGAAAACATTGTGAAAATAGTTAAAAGATATGGATAAGAATGTATAAGATAAATATGTATTGAGTTTATGTCTGTATGGAGAAGTGATAACCCGGGGCCACGCTGTTCTCAAAAAAAGATATTTTATTTGTATTTGTATGTTTTGTGAAAACTTAAATAAAACTTTTATTAAGAAATGTAGCAATATATTTAAAGAGCTTCAATTTGAGGAAGACATTCTTGTAAAGCTAAAATAAGCTATTCCAAGATCAATAAACTTTTCAAGCAGCATGCAGTGAATTCTGACAAATGTGTTGGTGCCAGAAGCAAATTAGCATTAAAAAAGTTGGCCATTTTACAGTTTGGTACTGTGGTTTAAATGCGGGCCCAGAAACCGGGTGACTAAGTTCTAGGCCTGCCATAGACCAGAAAGCCAGCTGAGTGACTTTAGGCTGATCACTCTCTCACTTCAAGCCATTTCACAGACTTGTTGTGATGGAGAAAATAGAAGGAGAAAGGAGTATTAGGTGTGTTTGTGTGAAAGACAGAGACAGACAGAGAGAGGGAGGGAGGGAGAGGATAAAAGCAATTGCAATAATAAACCCAAGTCTTTGAGAAGGACTGAACAGGTGGATAAATGTCAAACATCTGGCTGACTATGTGACCAATCATCATCATTTAAAATTTAATTTAATTTCTAAAGTAAATGGATTCATTTGAAAGCATCATCGGTACTCTATCTTGAATGCATCAGGCAGCAAGCATTAAATCATTAGCTGTACTTTTATACAGATTTGAAAAAGCTAGTCTTGCTCGGTGATGTTTTTTTTTGTCTTATTCCATCATTTCACAGAGGAAAGAACTTTGAGAGAATTTAGGAACATTTGCCGATTCTATATTAATTGTCCTCTACCAAACTCATTAAGGCAGACCAACATTTTAAAACAAGCAGAAACGTTTTGGGGATATGTGGGTGAGAAAAGAACTTGAAGTACCACACGGCTTACCCTTTTTCTTTATTTAGAGGCTTCCATCCTGTTTCCCCTGGAAGCGAGAGAGAGAGAGAGAGAGAGAGAGAGAGAGAGAGAGAGAGAAATCACTTATTGTAAATACAGAACAGAGCTAATTGATTTTAAAAGGCAGGTCATTTATTACTAGTGCTAATTCAGACAAAGAAAATACAGGATACAAAAGCAATCAAGAGAAAAGTTTTGGATAAACACCTATTCTTTGTATCAGACACCTAGATCTGAATCTGGATCTAATTCTCTCCCTGCCATAAATCATATTAACAGAGTTTCCTTCCTCTGCTCCCTCAGAGACTAGGAGCAAACATAACAGAAAGATCAACTGTGAAAGAAGACGCAGCTAAAATCATGTCAATTCTCCTTCTAGCTTTATTAACATTCACTAAATGCATCATCACCCCTGTTCTCCTACTACCCAGGAATAGGCCCTGCTCAACTCACGGATGCCTGGGATGCTTTCAATCGGAATATGTCGAACTCCCTCTTTGAAACAAGTGAGGCCAGGGTAGACTTTACGGATTTGGGCTTGCTTTCTCTCTATCAACTTCTTGATGATCTGTGGGAAGAACCAGAAACTGTCATGACTTGCATAGTCATCCCTGGATGCTTCTGCAAAATCAGAGCAATGAGGCAGGCTAAGCATCTCTTAGAGAGCAGTCAGATGTGCAGCTAGGAAACTAGTTCCTGGCCAATTCCTAGTTCAGCCTTCAAGCTGAGCAGCATCAAGGTGTTAGGAAAAAATTGAAAAGGCAGGCAGGCAGGCAAACAGTGAGAAGCTGAATCTGAGATGAACAATAGAGAAGATTATTGTGCAGCATCAGGCATGCATGATTACGAGCTATGTTGGCTGAAAAGTATGAAAAATGGAATTCAAGTACGCCTAAATAAACACGAAGGACTGTGATAGGCAAGAAGGCCTCCCCTATGGGAAGATTCAAAGAGAGAAGTTATGAACATTACCACTTCTTGTGGAACCTTTCCAAAGTAGAACCAGAAACCTTTCCTTCACTGAGGGAGGAGTCAAATTCTTACCACAAGAGTAAATCTGTTTCTGGAATACGTCGTTTAACTCTGCAGAACGTGTTTTCCATATAAGAAAAATACATAAGTTTTGAAAAATCCAACCACAGATCAGTATGTAAGTAAGTGTGTGTGTGTGTGTGTGTGTGTGTGTGTGTGTGTGTGTGTGTGTGTGTGTGCATTGCATGTGAAATAAAAGGGAGAGGCAGAAATTTTGGGGAAGAAGTATAGATAGGGCAAGGAAAGAGTATGACTGATTATATCACTAAAACCTCAATCCTGCTACAACGGATGAGGCTATTGAAGACCCTACAGAGAGAAATGCAATCATTTAGGCATATTCTACACCCAAGGTCGAAGCCAAATTTGCATATGTCCATGGGGGGGGGGGGAGGAGAGGGAAGTATTCGGCAGTGTGAATTAGTAACAGTAATAAAGATGGTCCATACATAGTTGATAAGAATCAGAGATGGGTCAAGCAGAGATGGGTCTATGTCCCCTTCTCCCATCCCAGCCCCTCACCTCCTTCTGCTTCTTGATAATATGTGAAAGCTCTGTGTAGGGGATCCGAGGATTTAGCTCACATTCCATCAGGGTGGCTCCTTCGTAGTCCTTGATGTAGCCAAGGTAGCGGCTCTTGGGAACCTTGATATCCTTTGAAAACCCCTGAAGGCCACAGAGAAGAGATCCTATTCATTCTCCAGAATAAGCTAAATGTAATTCAGCAGTGAGAAATATTGAATAGAAAAAGAATTCGAATTCTTTATTGGCCAAGTGTGATTGGACACACAAGGAATTTGTCTTGGTGCAAATGCCCTCAGTGTACATAAAAGAAAAGATCATCAAGAGTCAAGAATCGTTAGGTACAACATTTAATAACTGACCTATTCTGAAATGGAGCTTCATCTCTTTTGTGCTACCTAATGTATGGATCCAGCTCATTTTCCCCCATCATATTTAAGAATGTATTGAGGGGGGTGAGGGGTTCATGGAAGCTACGCTTAAATTACAGAAATGTGTAATAGTGAACTGTATCTTTTAGAGTAGAGGTCTTCAAACTTGACAGTTTTAAGACTTGTGGACTTCAACTCCCAGAATTCCTCCTCCAATCATGTTAGCGCAGGAATTCTGAGAGTTGAAGTCCACAAGTCTTAAACTTGTCAAATTTGAAGACCCTTGCTTTTAGACAATCAGTCTCCAACCTTTCTGGCTCTGTGGTAGCAATGGCACAGCGGAGGGAAAAAGGGGATGGTTTCAGGTGCATAAATGGAGCTTCATATGCTTACCCACTGCTTATGTGGCCCAATACTGGGCTGCAACCCAGGGGTTGGGTACCCCTATTTTAGACACATTTAAACAGACCTTTTTTTAAAAAAAATAGACATACTGGATTTATCCCATTTAATGCTTTTTAGAAATATTATGTTAATACCATAATTCTTAACCAAAGTGGTTGGGGATTATAGAGACTATAGTTCAAAATAACTGAAGAATACTGCACAGCAACCTACCCAACTTGTTAGAAATCAATGACACCAATTTAGAATATCATTCAACTAAATCACCTTTATAAAGTAACACAGAAATTTAGGTCAATTAAAAAAATTTCCTCAAATATTTCTATAACTAAATAAATTAAGGCCTGCTTTAGAGATCATGCTAGCCCCAAATTTGTGGCTAAAACATTTTTATATCTTGTAAAAAAGAGAGCTTTGAGTACAGATCCAGTTGCATTTCTGAAACTATGATTGGGACTAATTCTGGCTGCAAACTCAAGCCCAGTTTATATATTCCTTATACTCAGATGCTCCTAGGTTGAAGTAGGAGCAAAGAGAGGATGATGCAAAAGTCGAAAAGAAATTTCTTTCCCTATCCAGGGAGCGTAAAGGTGTAAAGAAAGAAAACATGGAAAGGTTATGGCTTCTTGTGCCTGTTAAGTTAACTATTTTATAAACCACAACTATTTGTACGTGACACAGAGTCACTCTGTGAGGGAGATGAGCTGTTTCTAAATGTGGTATTCAGTATAAAAAAATAAACCATTTAATGTGACCTGATATATTTAATGTGACATGTGAATGCAGCTATATTAACAACTATGTCCATCTGCTTAGGAGGAGAACCGGGCCCTTTTACAAATGTGTCCCTTACAGCTAATCCAAAAGCCAGTTCTGAATAGAGTTTGGCAACAATAGTGTGGTACCTGCTTTTTGAAATAGCCAATGGCATATTCATCTGCATAGGTGAGAAAGTAGAGGATGCTGTGTTTGATGTGGTATTCCTTCAGGTGATTCATAAGGTGAGTCCCATAGCCCTTCAAGGAAGTAAAAAAGAAATGGGGAAAAAATAATCAAAATCAAACCTGGGAACGATCCTCTTTCTATCAATGTATTTATATTCAATCTTTCCTTCTAAAACTCAAGATGACCAACATGATTTTTCAAGCTATTACGTTTTGGTCTCACAACTACTCTATGAAGCAAATTAGTGTCTTAATTGAGTAAATATTTAAGATTAGGCCCAAACTCAGATACTCTACTTCACTAGCTGAAAAGTTATACAGGAAGCTAATTCATGTGGTGTGGTTTGTAATCAAAGAGAAGTTAATCCTGAGGTGAATAATGTCCTGTACAGAAATCTGAGCCAACAAATAGTTGGCGATAACAACAATTGCAAAAGATTTTAATATGGAAAATATTATGGATGATTAACTTCTCGAAAAGGATTACTAAATATGTCAAAAGTTACTACAGAACACGTTAAATCCTACTCCAGTTTAACAAAAAATAATTAATTTGTTCAAATAAAATGCTGTGTTTCGAAGCCTCATATTACACCTAACATGGTTTTCCCAATGCTCTTAAGAGAATGTCTGTGTTCCTAAGATACTGTACAAATACAAACTACCCAACCCTGTCTAAGCCTAGTCTAACTCTATGAACTAGTATGCACAACTGAAGATAATTAGTACTGGATCCATGCCAGCGTGTTTATTTGATTCTTTTGAGAAGCACAGGAGAGGCATTGCAACACCATCTGAAGAAAATCTCAGAGAGTTAAATGTGATTTATTCCAGACAGTGCGAAAGAGCCCTTGAATGTATCCTTTTCCTGCCTTGAATATTAATTGTAAAAGGAAACTTATATTGTTTTCCACGCAGCATTTTAGACTCTACATCAGTTTCAAATTGTTTTTTTTATATTTCTAAATATTTTTATACTCTTGCTCTTCATTCATTTGCTGCCTTCATTCATTTGCTGCTGGCTCCCATTACTTAATTACATCCTCTTTGGCAGGGGTGTCAAACTTGATTTCGTTGAGGGCCGCATCAGGGTAGTGTCTGGGTTGTGTCTCATCTCGCTGTGGGGGGCGGATGGCCATGGCCAGGATGGGCGTGGCCAGCTTGATGTCACTCGTGTTGGTGCCTGTGGTGGTCCGAGTACTGCCAGTGAAAACGGAGCTTGGGAGAACTGTATTTTTGCTGGCAGAGGCACCGTGGGCCAGTCCTTCACTGTTTCCAGGGTGGTCCCACGGGCCAGATCTAAGCACCCCATGGGCTGGATCTGGCCTGTGGGGCTTCCGTTTGACACCCCCTACTCTATGGCTTTCCACTTCCTATGACTTGAATATCCTGCTTCTTCTAGTTCTTCCTTGTTGCATGATTTTCAAGCCAGGTTTAAATCCAAGGCCGAAGGCACTGAGTTTCTAGCACTCCCACTTCAATTAAAAAAAAAAAAGTTAATCCACTGAGAATGAACCCTGAGGCTGTGCTGCAACGTGCAAATGTAGTACAAATGCACTGAAAAGCCTATGAAGATTTTTTTTCACCTCCGATAAGCCAGTCTGGGCAAGTAAGGATGCTGCTATGTTTAAAAACAACCAATAAATATCCCCTCCTCATACCCCACTGTCTTTTGGCACTAGAAAATAAAATTCAACCTTGCTTTCTCTTCCCTGTTCTGATCCAGGGACACATCACTGATTATAAGCAGTGAGAGTTCCCTCTATGATTGGTTGGAAGTATCCCAGCTGATACTAGCAGTCTCTCAACTGCTAGTTTAGAACCTGTTTAAACCCCGAAGAATGTCACAGGCCTCTCAAAACGACCCTACCTTGACTTGCTCATTAGATGTGACAGCACAGAAGACAATCTCAGTGAATCCTTGTGTTGGGAACATCCGAAAGCAGATCCCACCAATCACTCGACCATCCTTGATTAATGCCAGAGTCTTATGCTTGCTGCCAAGAAAATAAGCAGCAGAAAGAGAAGCTTGTATTGGAAGGAGAGAGAGCACAACTTATAATGACACTCCTGCTTCATCCGTTATCTTTTTGAGATGTAGGAGGGGGAATACAGCAATCATTAACCCCATTATAAAATTGAATTAGTTTCATTAACAATTCTAGCTGACATAGAACTTTCCAGCTGTAATCCTTTCTTTTGGGGAGTCTTTGTATCACCTTGGATTACCACTATTTCCACAGCTCTCTCACTTACTGAGCTGCCATGCTTCCTCCTTTACCTCACTTCTTACATTTAAAACAAAACAGGCTTTAAAAACCAGGAAATTGGAGTTTGATATAGGGCCACTTCCAGCACTATGTTTCTTTCAAGAATATCTTTAAACCCCAAGTTTAAAGGTCCTTGGGAAGGACTCGATAGACAAATATCAAATCGAAGCTAAACTTTGGTTGATTGTGAGACCAAAGATTGTTGAGGCACAATCTTAACGTGTTTTTGGACTTGTGTGCTCTGAGGAAGATGACAACTGTGCCAGAGGTTGAACAATACTGTACAGGTCTCATAAGAAGAGTCCGACTAAAAGTTCCTCTCCCATAAAAATATACTGAGATGTAAATTAGAGAAACCTATACTGTCTTGGTTGCCATGTCAAGAACTGTACTAGAATTGTGCCTGGATATCTAGTGAAAAATGGATTAAAGAACTCAGGATGTTGGCTGAGCAACTAGGGCCCAACTACCAGTGCAAAACTACTGGAAGGAAACCCAAATGTACTTTTTTCAAGCAGCAACTGGAGTTTCTAGTTTTTCTTTGAAGACGTTTTGCTTGTTATCCAAGTTTCTTCAGCTTCTTGAATGAGAAGCAAAACATCTTCAAAAAAAAAACCCAGAAAGTCCAGTTGCCTCTTGAAAAAGCATCTTTGGGACATCTTTGGGACAACGATGACCAGGCTGACTGAGAATCTCCATAGACATTTAGCCATACTGGAAGGAAAGGTATTTACTCATTGCAAATATACAGTTGAAAACAAAGATATAATGATCTGTTATTACAGATCAAGTCCAATAAGAAGATATTGAAACAAATGCATCAGTTTTGGAAAAAACAACATCCCGAATCAGAAATAACAGAATAGAGATTAACGTCCATTTATAATATGAAATAAAATATTCACAGAAGCAGAATTAAAAGTGCAAAAGGCCAGAGATAGTTCAGACTAAAGAGGCAAACCAGGGGGAATTGGAAGTAGAAGAAGCCAGCACAACTATATAATTATTTTCATTCAGAAACCAGGCACCCACTCATCTGCCTCTGAAGGAGAAAAGACCTCTAACTGAAGAAGTTGAAGAATTAAAGCAAAGAATAGTTAAGCATCTAGAATAGCACAAAAACAACCAAATAAGGTTGCCTGGACTGAAGCTTGTTCCAAAGAAAAAGCCAGCACAAACATTAAAAGATGCCAATATGGACTGCAAAATCAAAAATAAGCACTAGCTCACTGCAAGAAACAAATAATGTATAGAACAGCTGCAGTGATAACTGAATGCCTGGAATGGCAAAATAACAAAGAAGAAAAAAAAAGCAAAAAAAGTGCACCATCAAATGTAAGATCAGACTGGAAAATAAGATGAGTAAGATGAGATCAAATGCAAGTAAGCTAGAAAGAAAAGAAGCTAAAGAACAAGACTAAAAAATATCTAATCAAGAAATGCTACTTAGAAACAAGAAAGATTAAGAAAGCACTGGAAATAATAAAACAGCAAATATCAGCTATAGCTAAGATGGTTAGCAGATATGAATCTCAAATTGCAAATTATAGGCAGAATCTCTGATTTCAATCCCTATTATAAATGTTTCTATCACTCTTATCAATGGAAAGATTGCAGGGAATCAGTTAGCACTCAGCAAGGAAGCAACAGCAACAGTTTATTTTTAGGTGAAAATATGAGATAATCCAGAGAAATATAACAAGAACACAATTTAGTTAAGGAGGTGGATAAGAATAAAAAGAAGATGAAATGAGAGAACTTATAATAACAGCAGAAATGGTAGAGAAAAGGGCAAGGAAGATGAATTGTATGGAATTTGATTGAAACATCTGACTAGTCTATGTCCACTTGCTGCCAAGCAGTTTATCAATATGCTGCAAGGAGATGGAATTGAAGAGGGCCTAAGATGTGGCAAAACCTAGTTGATAATGAAAAATCCACCCAAAGAGGCAGTATCAGACAACTACAGGCAAATTACTTTACCAACAACTTTCAAATTGCTAACTGGTGTGGTAGTTGATGCAATCCAACAGCATCTAGTTGAAAACAAACTTTTTTTGCCTGAGTAAAGTAACTGCCCAAACAAGAGAGGAATAAAAAATCAATCGGCAAGATGATTTTGGAAAACTGCAAAACAACGAAACCAATTTGAAAGTACCATGGATTGATTTACAAGAAGGCATATGAACCACGACTGGATAATCAACTACCTAGAAATAACAGGAATCAACAGAAACATCAGAAGCTTTGTGCACAATGGGAGACATGACTGCTAGATAATGAGGAGAGATTGGGAGAGATAAATATCAAGAGCTTTTCCAAGGAAACTCACTATCATCACTATTGTGTGTCATTTCACTGATTCTCTCATCAAGAATACTGAAAGTTACTCCACCTCCTTTGCATGGAAGATTTGAAGTTGTATGGAAAAACAACATCTGAAATAGAATTTCTGCTCAACACTATCCATATATACAGTCAAGATATTGCAATAGAATTTGGACTGGACGAATGTGTCACGCGCACCATCAGCGAGTGTGGCACATCAAACCCTATAAAAGAATAAAAATTGAAGGAATCAAGATGAAAATAATATCAAGAGTCTGGATGAAGATGATCACTACAGATAGCTGGGCATCCTTCAAGTTGATAACATCAAGCACACAGAAGTTAAGAAAAAGGTTAGAAATGAATATATCATCAGAATGAAGATGATCTTAAACGTCCATATTCACAGGAGGAAATACCATCAAGGCAATTATCACATAGGCAATTCCAGATATTGGAATAGCAGACTGCACTCAAGTACAACTAAAAGCCCTGTATAGGAAGACTAGAAAAATAATGAAAATGATTCATGCTTTTCAAACTCCAAGAGAAACTAACAGAGTGTACTTTACCAATGGAAAGGGAGGGCGTAGAATGCTGCAAATATATCAGGAGAGTTTAAAAAGAAAAAAGGGCATTGGAAAAATATCTGTAGGACAATGAAAAGAATGCATTAAAGCTAGTATGCCAGGAAAGCTTAGTAAATATGGCCTACCAGAAATACCAAATGAAAAACAGAAAAGAGAGATAGGAAGACAAAGAATGACCTACCCGATACTTAAAAAAAAAAAAATTTAAACAAAAAAAAAAGCAGGCAAAGCAGATAATAACAAGACCTGGCAATGGCTAAGAGCAGGAAAGCCAGAAGAAAGAGATAGGGGGCTAATTCTGATTGCATAAGACCACTCCTTAGGAACAAATACATACAAAGCCAGAATTGAGGAGACTGTGATAGATACCAAGAGCTACCTCTGCAAAGAAGCTGAAGAAGTAATTGGATCACCTGATTAGCTGCTACAAAACTACAAACAATGGCATGACGAAGTAGCCACAATGATGCATTGGAAAGTCTTCAAGAAATACCATTTGCCTGCAAGAAAGAACTTGTGGGACCATAAAATAGAGAAAGTAATAAAAATGAAGGCCTTAATGTGGTCTGGGACTTTAGAATTCAAACAGACAGGCTGCTACCACATAACAATCCAGGCTTAACAGTTGTTGATAAGAAAGACAAAAACGTCTGGATAGCGGACACGGTAGTACCAGCAGCATAGAAGAGAAAGAACTGGAGAAGTTAACAAAATATGAAGACTTGCAAAGCATCAAACATCCACATCTGCCTACCCCAGATCCTTGGAAAGGACTCAATAGGCAGACAAAAATGTCAGATCCAGTCTGAACATCTGGCTGACTGAAATGAAATAATAATAATGTCAGATGGCTGTAGTCCAGTTCTACATTTGGAAGCATACCGATTTGGTCAGTGAAAAAAAAAATCACTAAGAATACAGATAGTCCTCAACTTACGACCACAACCGAGCCCCAAATTTCTGTTGCTAAGTGAGAAATTTGTTAAGTGAATTTTGTTCCATTTTATGACCTTTCTTCCCACAGTTGTTAAGTGAATCACTGCATTTGTTAATTTGGTAACATAGTTGTTAAATGAATCTGGCTTCCCCATTGACTTTGCTTGTCATAAAGTCGCAAAAAGGGATCACATGACCCCAGGACACTGCCGCTGTCATAAATGAGTCAGGTGCCAAGTGTCTGAATTCTAATCACGTGACCACAGGGATGCTGCAAAGGTCATACATATGAAAACAGTCATAAGTCACTTTTTTCAGTGCCATTGTAACTTTGAACAGACACTAAGTAAAATGTTGTAAGTCGAGTACCACCTGTATGTGCAATGGAGCATTCATAATGGAAGCTAAATTTGGGGCAAACAGAATTAGGACTTGATTAGGACAATTGGATCTCTCATTGCAACCATTTTATAAAACAACCAATGCTTTCCCAAAAGACAGTATTAGGGTTCCAGATCATTAAGCTGTAATTCACAGAACTTTTTGCAGAGAATAAATGGCTAAATCTCAAACTCTACCGTATATCCTGTTTACTAAAAGGTTAATGTAATTACAGAAAATAGAGTTCAGTACATGGCAGAGGGATAGAGAGATAAAGCAAAGCTGTATATTTTTGAAAGGACAAACATTTTATATATTAATATGGATAGGGGAAACATTTTATACACTATCTTGATTCCAAGGTCCCCTTGATTATTTATTTATTCAGGCAACCAATTTCTCACTCACATTTATAAGTCTTTATCCTCAACTTATTAGAACTAGTTTACGTATAATCGGCCAAGTTCCAGGAATTCAGGATTTAATAGTTGCTACGTATGTGAACTTACTAGGGCATGTCAAATTTTTTAACTTTAAATTTTCAAACATTAGGGTGCTCAAAAGTTGTGACATGCCTTGGGGATTGTAAAGGTATTTTGGTTACTTTAATGTAGCTTAGATGTGCTTGGTAAGTAAGTACATAAATATCATAACTTTTTAACATTTTGTTTGTTCCCAAACCTACGGGTCAAAAACCAGGCGGGTGATGTATTCCTTGGGCATTCGAGGCAGCTGGTGTGAAAAAACGTTCTGCAGCCCAACCAGCCACATAAGAATGTTCTTGTTTGATTTTTGAGAAAGTGAGTTGCCAATGACATGGAATTCGATGATGCCACGCCGTTCCTCTAGGCGGGCTGTCTCATCCCGGGCCGCATTTGCTGACAAGAGACTAGTCTGCAAGTAAAAGAAACATTCTGGTTAAAAAAAAGAAAGAAACAATGAAAGGCAATATGCAAAATATAGGGTCAAAGGTAGATTAAGACATTTATTGGTGTAGGGGAGATTTTGTCCATATATAGATTACTTTCATCTTTCTAAATCTATACAAGTAAGTTAATTTAAAAAAAATTAATTTAAAAATAAAACCTTGATTTAGTAGATCCCTATTTAGCAGATTTAATCAATCAACCAATCAATCAACCAATCATTTATTGTCAATGCACAACACGTGTACAATGAAATTGAAATGAGCCTCCTTGGTGTTGGCCCTGCAAGTCTATCATATTAAACCTAATTGTGGTGTTTATGTTGCGTCCAGAAGTCTGACAGCCCACAGATAAAAGCTATTAATATGTTCATTAAACCAGGGTTTCTGTTATATTTTTGATTTGTTAACTAAAATATATATTTTGCTTATATTAGAAACATGTAAGACAGTGATTCCCAACTTTTATCTTGTTCATCCAATGCTAAATTTTATTTATGGTATTTGAGTTCATCATCAAAAAGCAAAAAAATATTTTTAATAAGATAAAGGCATAGGGCTGGAAGAAATATGGATCTGGCAATACATTCTGTAATTTGCATAATGCAATATGTGGGACAGCTATTGAAGACTGATTTTGCACTGTTTTATGATGCAAATAATTTAATAATGAATTAACTAATTATACCTCAGGCCCTAGCATGGCTGCTGGATCAGTAATGGTCAGCATCACTTCATTAACAAGCTCCATTGGAATATCACCTAACACGCGAATTCTCTTTGCATCCTCCAGGGTCAAACTTTCTGGAAGCTTCCTTTTCTCACCTGCATGGGAGGTAGAGAAAACAAAAATATAAAAACTAAATGTAATAAATATATAAGGTGAAGCCCTACTTTATAGAAATAGAGAAGGTGAAGCCCTACTTTATAGAAATCCAGACGCTAGCCTGGATTTGGTTTCATATTTTTAAGTCTTCGGACTTTAATGTTCTACTCTTTTAAAACAAAAACAAAAGAATAAAAATATTATTCCAAGTTTAACAGGACGTTTTAGGAAAAGATAATCTTAATAAAATTCATTCAAATGATGGGGATTTTTAAACTAAGCTTTTCTTTCAGACACTTTGATTTTTGCTTTACATTCTCTTGCTCATAAAGATTCTCATAAAGATTTTACCTGGCACAGAATCCAGTGAGCTCCCATCCAGATTAATAGATGTCAAAGATGAGCTGCAGCTCAGAGATTTGTTGAACAAAGGAGTGCTAGCTGCAGGAACAGTGCTGATAGCTACACAAGACAAAGGGACAGCAATAGTGTATGCATTAAAATAGGAAGGCTTTATGACTTGGGGATGCAGATGAAATTGTTCAGTTCCTCAAGCTTCTGCACACAAAAGCTTATTTCATTTTTATTCCATCCCTTCTGCAAGGAACTCAGGATAGTATACATGGATTTATCCAATGCAGTGCTTGCAATAATCTTACTGTTAATTGATGAAGGTCCTGAGATCAAGCTTATTTTATTTTATTTTATTTGTATGGCCGCCCATCTCACCTAAATGACTGGGTAGCTCACAACAGTCAGAACAACAATCTAATAAAACAAGTTAAACACACAACAAATAAAATATTGCTAACTACTTTAAAACTAATTATGGTCAGTGGCCAAAGTCCATACTTGTGCAAGAAAGCCATTATAAAATCTCCCCACCATTCCACACTCCCAAACATGGTGACAGAGTTCTATCTTCGGGTTCAATTTAATTTCTGATTTCAATTTTTGAAATCAATTTCAAAATTTTAATTTTTCATTCATCAAAATCTCCCCCAAAAACATTTATGGTCTTCTTTCTTCAACTTGGTGATCAACCCTACAACTCTAATTTATTTCCAGGGATGAAATTGTAATCTACTGCCAAAGGAAGAAAACTTTGAAGAAATGTGTTAACTTAGAAGGATTAGAAATATATATAAGTAAAATATGTATGATAATGGTATTATGTGCACAAAGAAATGTGTTCCCAACTGACACACTGATGAACAGAAAGGTTTATTTTTGTTGTTATAAAAATAAAAAAAATAAAAAAGTGTTAACTATAATAATGAATTTATATTGGGGAACTTGTCTATTCTCATATTTTAATTGATTGATCTTGTTTAAGAATGGCAGAGATTCTCCAATCTTGAATTCAAAATGGCTAAAAGCAGTTTCTTGGATGGTGAGATGTGTTTTCCTGCACTTTGAGGTACCTGATTTGCAGTGATTTTTTTTTTTTATGTCTGCTCCCTATTCAAAAGAAGACTGATGAAACTGAAGGGTTCTTGAAATCTCATTAAAACAACTGTCCGACTTTGCTTTAGTAAGGAGAAAACCTGCAGGAGTTGAACCATTGTCATAAATATGACAAGTGTTCCTATACATTATACTTCGTTGGAGAAGGGGCATAATACATTGTAGCTCAATATTCAAACACTTTGGGATAGAGGCTATTTTGCATGCAAAAGAGCCCTACTTCAAACTTCCAGATCTGTGAGTTGAGGAGTATCTCTGGCTGTCATCTCAGACAATGCCTGTCAATCAGAGCAAGCTTTACTAAGGCAGACAAATGAGCTTTTCAATTTACTATCTGGCAGTTTTCAGTTTGATACCTTTTACAGCTATACCAAAATGTGCCACGTTAGTTAAAAGGAATATTACATACCTGGCCGGGGTACAAGTGGAGCCCCTTCAGTTGCAGGCATAGTGAAGTCAGCTTCCCAAATTGGGGAACTCTCCCCATAGATTTCTTCTTCCAGCATTGATAAAAATCTGGATATGAATTGGAAAGAAACCGGTACAGAAATCCAATTAAATTAACACCAACCTACTGGCATTCAAATCCCACTTTTTTATTAAAAACAGGTCAGTACTTAGTCATACAGTAAACAGAACTGAACCCAACTCAATGGTGCCTAATTCACTACCTCAAATCTTACTTCAGAAACCAGCAATGGGTACGTTTTGTAAGCTGAAATGCCTCGTCCTTCTCTCCACTAAAAAGTGCAGGTAAGCAAAGTCTATTTTATATAGCTGGCTTGCACAAAAAAAAAAAACCCAGGCTAAAACGCACATTGCAACCTTGGGCTCTTATATGACAGGAATATGATATTTGAAGTATTTCAGATGATGTTGAATCACAATTCCCAGTAAACATAATTAAAATGACCAATGATGAGAAATGCTGGGAGCTTTAGTTCAGCAAGAACAGTTAAGGTCAATGGTTTCTCACCTGTTACATATACAGACAGAACACACACACACAAGTGCGCAAAACCAATTTTTACTTTATGGAAGCCCTTCAAAGCTAATCTAATTGAATGAAAGTTGGCTAATAGAGCTGATAAAATAAAATAAAGTGGATCCAAAAAGATTATTAACCCTGCGACTGCTGCATATGCCTTCCCTTCCAACCTAAAATAACACAGTTCTGCATTAATTTACCATCTCAAAAACAGCTAGGCTTTATCCATCTAAAAAAGCCTTTTTTATATCCCCTTCCTATCCAGTCTCTCATCATTTGCTGAATATTTGCCTTACTTGGGGAAGTGAGTGAGAATGAGGGTCCGTTTCTCTGGCACCAGTTTATCTTTCTCCACTCGGAATTTCTCGAGCAGCTGCCTGCGAGTAACCGTGAAAGTGGACTTGAGCAGATTGCGCCCAAAGACCTGGGTGGTCTCATAACGTGGAAGACTGTCACAGCTCTGGGGAACATGGCAGTAACACAACCACCTGGAAAAGCATGAGGTGTGAGTAGTAAGAGGGAAAAGCAAGCAGGAATCTAAGGCACCGAGGATTGCATTTAGGATTCTAGAAAGCCTTCGGCTGATCTGCACTTTACTCAAAGCAAATACTAATTTGAGGTAAAAGAGAGCTGAGGGAAGAGATCCGGAAGGGTACAATTATGACTCTATAACTGATAATATCCTGGGACTGATGGGAGTAGATTTAAAAAGGTAGTCTTCAACTTTCTATCACACTTTTAGCCCAACATTTCCGCTGTTAAGGGAGACATTTGTTAAGTGAATTTTCCCCTCATTTTATGACCTTTCTTGCCCCACTTGCTAAGTGAATCACTGCAGTTGTTAAGTTTGTAACACGGTTGTTGTTAAGTGGATCTGGCTTCCCCCATTGACTTTGCTGGTCAGAAAATCGCAAAAGGTGATCGTGTGATCCTGGGACATTGCAACCACCATTAAATATGAGCCGGTTGCCAAGTGGCTGAATTTTGATCACATGACCATTGGAATGCTCCAATGGTTGTAAGTGTAAAAAACAGTCGTAAGTCCCCTTTTCAGTGCTGTTGTAACTTTGAATGGTCACTAAATGAATGGCTGTAATTAGAGGAGTACCTGTCATAGACACTTGGCAACTGACTCATATTTATGATGGTTGCAATGTCCCAAGGTCAAGGGACCACCTTTTGAGACTTTATAACAAGCTAAGTCAACGGGGGACTGTTGTAAGTCAAGGATTACCTCTAGTAACTCTCTAGGTTCTCCTGAACAACTACTCCCAATAAACTCGTGTGCTTTAACAAAATCAGGATGTTGCAATGTTCCTCTCCTCTATACTACACAAAGAAAATAGTTTCTGGAGTTTGAAGGTTTTTTTCCCTGCTAGGGAAAAAAGAACCGTGCTTTGTATTTTCTAAAAGCCGTTTCCCAAATCACCATTATATACATATTGAACAAAAACTAGAGCTATAAAACAAATGGTGGAAAGAAATAAAGCTTTATTCTCCGTTTGCTCTCCCGCCTTCCTTCTTCCCTAGGCTCACCGTGTGTAGTTGACTTTGTATGTTGCCACATCATCATTTTGGGAGCGTTGGCGGAACTGGGATGGTGTTTCTAGCTTCCAATAGTTTAGGCAAAGAAGAAACATTTTAGAAAGCTCAAACATGGTCTGTCGCTCTTTAGGGGGTAGATGGCTGAACTTGTATTGTACAAAGTTTAAGACACCCTGGAAGTAAAAATCAGAAATAGCAGGTATTTTTAGCAGTAGGACAAAATTATTATAGCTTTTCATTCATTTTCTACTTTTACTGACTATTTTTTAAGTGTTTGGGTTTTTCACTCATGTCAACTGAGGGGTTTCTTCATGATGCCTGTTCCACTCCCGCTTTCTGCAAGGCAACAGGAATTAGACTTGACTTTAACTAATATCTTAGGCTAATATTTTACATCTGCAAAAATACACCATCTTACCTGTTCAATGTTTGGCTTCTCAAAGGGGGGACACCCTAGAGACCCCTCGACGACTGGACGGCTCATCTGTAGAATGCATTTTCTTAGAAGCTTCAGAGATAGAAAAGCAAATCCAACCTTAATATCACATTACTATTTCCACACGCTGATTTATAATCTGATTCATTTGAAATGTCTAAGGCAGTGGCTTAGAAAGAAGTGATATGCCTATCACACTCAAATTATCATGTTAGTAGCCTAAAGCCAACCACTGCCTGCATCAAAGAAACAAGCAAAAAGGGAGTAAAAAATTTAAAAAGTCAAGGGGAAAAATCCAGTGCCCTATTTTTCTATAGAAAAAAAATTACAAATCTCCTTAAAGTCTAGTTCTTCAGTTCCTTGAGTTTCAAAAATATATTTAAGTATCAATAGATTTTAATACTTTTTAAAGCTTACATAAGGTGGATGTTATTGCTATTAAATGGTAAAAATTTTTAGAAAACACAGTGGGTGTGCTTTTTCCTTTGTTAAATTGTTCAGTAAAATAAATCCCAAATTAGAAAAGGCTAGATATGTGTGTGTGTGTGTGTGTGTGTGTGTATGCGCGCATGTGTGTATGTAAGTTTGTATGTATGTATGTATGTGTGTATGTATGTATGTATGTCATTCAGCTTTGTTCGGGTATTTTCCCATGTCATTATAGTTGTGCTTTTAAAGTTGTAGCAACGTTTCGGCAGAATCTCATCTGCCATCATCAGGCTTCTGTATAGTGTTCGTCTGTGAGTCAGACTTTTACAGTGGTTTCAGATTTAAATTTGGTGCTTGCCTATTGCTGTGCCAGAATGTTTTTTTCTTCATCCTGATTGGTTGGGAGTCTTGGTCTGTGTTTATTGGTCTTGGAGTTTGCTGTGTTCTGCTTGATTGGTGTTTCTAATATATATATAAAATCCAATGCTAGCCAAACATTTTCCAGAGACAGTTGTCCTAGGCAGCCCTTTTTTTCCTAGAAAACCAACATTACCAAACAAATGCAAGACAGTCATACCCATGTAAGAAGCTAAATTAAATGACATTTTACTTCAGTAATTATTTATAATATTAAATAGTGAAAGATTTGTACAATTAGCAGACTCGGTGATGCACCACAAGAAAACTAGATGACCAAAAAGTAAACAAAAATGAGTTGTCCCCAATCAAGTTAGGTCAAAAATAGGCATAGAAGTTACTATTTTTTAAAAAATAATCTAGCCTACATTCAAAGTATCCCCAGCACACTAGACGAGCAGATCACATTAGCAAGGCACTTCTTAATACTGATCTGCATAATGATGACATAACAATGAAAAATAGCTGATTTAGGATAAGTTGACCTCAGATAGGCATCTATCCCAAAGAAGCACTCTAGAATCCTATCTCACCTTGAACAAGTAGAAATAAACTTGTTTGGTGTCTGTGTCTTCCTCTTTATGCACAGACATGAAGAGGTTCTCCACATCTACTACCATCCCCAGAAGACGGTTGATCTCTTCCTCAGAGACATTCTCCAGATGAGAAACATGGTCAGCTAAAGGTAGGAAAGAAAATTAAATCATGCTTTGAGCTTCATCTCTTTAAACTAGGAACCTTGTTGGAATATGAATGAGATTCTCTGTCTTATTAATTTTTCCTTGTCTAATGAAAGTGATAGAAGTGATAGAAAACAACCATGATTGCCATGGTGGTTGGTGGTCAATCATAAAATGGAATGGTTACATCAAACTCGTGTTGTCATGTGACTTATTGCAATTCTTTTCCCCTTCACTAAACCGGGCACAGGCATGGTCAGTGAATGAGGCATCCGGCCTATGGGCCGTGAGTTAACAGTCCTGGGCTACATAAATCAGGCCTGATATTGCTTCTGATATTACAGCTTATCTTTTTTTTTTTATTTCCTTCTTGGGAAGGTGCACACAATTTTATCTAAAGCAATAATTTTTATTTTTAAGACTACTTACTGGAATTTTATGTGAAGCACAAAGGTATTTTTGAAAATAAAAACACCGGTGTTTTATAGCTTCCCACTATTGTTAGGAGTTTTGATCTCCTAAATAATCAGAATTTTAAGACAAGGTCAGCTCTTGGCTTATGATTCTGGCTTGGGCTAATCACCGCCCTTTTTATCCAACTTGGAAGATTATTGAAAGGAAAAAAATTAAGTGTATATGTATGTATGTGTGTTAAGTGTATATGTATGTATGTATGTGTGTATATATATATATATATACATACACACACACACACACACACACATAGATACACATACATACCACACACACAATTTTTTAATGAAGATTGTATTGAAGTATTTAAATTAATCCTAAATAAGACAAATGCTGGTTTGAGCTCCAAGTTTGGCAATTTGGTTGCAAACATTTCGTTAACATTCGAGGAGACATCATTGAATTGTACTCTTCTGTCAGAACACAGGTTTTTAAATACCTTTTTATGAGATGCAAATTAGTCTGAATGTTTCTTGTTTGGATATTTCTGAGTCACTGTCTGATTTTGGACTGTTTGATCGGCTAGTGGGCTGTAGTCCAGAGACATGGTCCAATTTCTTGTGAGGCAATGAGTTATAATTTTGTTGCTCCAGAGTGCAGCGCCTCTTTGTTCGTTTTAAATGCTACCTTCGGGATTGTGGTTGATGCAATTCTTTCAAAAGTATGTAAAGACCTGTGTTCTGATAGATGAGCACAATTCAAAACGCACTGACAATGTGTCCTCGAATGGTGACAAAACATTTGCAACCAAATTGCCAGGCTCGGAGGTCAAACCAACACCTAACTACTAACCTGAGCTACTAATATTCAAACACATTCAAAGTTATCTTTGGAAATTCCAATCAGGCCCAAACATGAATGAAATATATGGCAATAGTCAATATCAAATTAAGATTTTACAATCTGTAAAAAAGTTTCCTATTCTTTTCATTTCCCTGCTAATTGCTCTAGCATAGTGGGCCGTGAGAAAATTTTAGTGGGCCGCAGAGAAATCTCACCCCCCAGAGCATCCCCCCAAAGCAATTAATCCAGGCTGCGCAGAAACACAAGGCTGCACCGCCCACATGGCCCACGGGAACCCTCCCTGCCCACTCACTCCTTCCCCAGTAAACTTGCCTGCTAAATTGCTATTTTTCCTTTTTCTGACCATCATCTGTTCTGCTGCGCTGGGAGATTTAGATTAGCTAGGAAGCAGGAAATGGCTGGATTTCTTGCTTTCTAGCTAGTCTTTAGATCTTCAGCTCAGCACAGCTGAACCTCTCTTAGGACTGAAGGTTTGCTTGCAAGCAAATTCAGTGCAGACTCACGGCAAGCAAATTTGAGAGACTGAGCTAGCCGATGGCAGATAGATGAATCACGGAATGATTCTGTGAGCAACTCAATCTGCCTGCTTTGCCTGATTTTGGGTAAAAGTTGCTCTTTTTTTATAAAAAAACCAATATTTACATGCATGGTGCCCTGTGAGTTAATTTTATGAGTTTGCTTGCTAGCAAATTTTATGTGACAGACTGATGGCAGATAGATAGATCTCTGAATGAATCTGTGATTCTGTGAGCAACTCAATCTGCCTGCTTTGCCTGATTTTGGGTAAAAGTTGCTCTTTTTTATAAAAAAATCAATATTTATATACATATTTATAATATTTACATACAAGCCATGCCCAGCCAGTCACATGACCACCAAGCCACACCCACAAATTAGACCATGCCCACAGAACCAGTTAGAGGTCCCTGGGATCTAAAATTATGAATTTGGTGGTCCCTGAGGTCAAAAATGTTGGCGACCCCTCCTCTAGCAGATAATCTTTCATCTGGCTAGCAGTGTTGTATGTACATTAGTGTAACTCAACTTTCAGATGCCTAGATTTCAAATCCTATATTTCCCTAATCATTATGCTGCACATCTGTGCTACTGATAGTAGACACCATTTTAAAATCTTTCCTCCTGTCAACCGTATATTTCAGTCTCAATGAGATAAGGTTGGGTTGGAAGATGGTAAGTGACTCTGCAGCTACCTAGAGTGTGTCCACAACTACGGCAGGGTTCACTGAGATTGGTGACTGTTTGTTGCAAATCCATGCGGGGAGCTGTGGGAGGATTTGGGTTCTTCCAACCATTGCACTTGCAAGAGTCATTAGCCTGCAGAGATAAGGAAAAGAACAGAGGCAGAACTTAAGCCACTGAACACATAAAGTAAAGACAAAGGCTAACATTTTCATTGGTTAAGCCATCCTTAGCTTTTGGAGGTGCATTCTAAGAATTAGGAAATCTGTGATTTTAAAAAAAGTGATTGCATTTTAATCAAATGAAATTTTACCTTTATAACAGTCAATGACCAACAAAAACTAATATTAGCATTACTGTCATTTTCATTTAGCAACCACAATTGGAACCAACTACTTGATCATTAAGCAAAACAGTTACTAAATGAAACTATATGATCTTACTTCAACTTTCCTCTGCTTTACAGATCAGCAGAGATCATTAAGGTGACTTTAGTTGCAAATTTACTTTTTCCATTGCTTTCTTAACAGTGAATAACTAAATGAGGTAATCACTAATCAATGACTGTGTCTATGAACAATCTAGCTTCAAAGTTACAACAGCACTGAAGAAAGTAACTTATGACCCTTTTTTCACACATCTGAAGGCTGCAGTACCTCCATGGCTACTTGATCAGAATTCAGATGCTTGCTAACTGGCATATATTTATGACAGTTGTGATATACTCAGGGCATTTGATCACATTTTGCAATCCTCTGACATGCAAAGTCAATGGAGAAGTCAGATTCACTTAACAACTATGTTACTAACTAAACAACTAAATTGATTCACTTAAGGTCATAAAATGGAATTTAACAATTATCTTGCTTAGCAACAAAAATTTTGGCTCAATTGCTGTTGCAAGTCAAGGACTATGGATATTGCATTTATCTGACTTCCTGGCAGTGAATTATGGGTGTTTAGTTTCTTGAACTATACACAACATGGCAGCATTATATATTATGGAGGAAATATAATTTAAGAATACTAAGAAAACAAACATGAACCTGACAGCTTTGTAAGTACGTTGACGAGATAAGAACACTTCAAATATCTCTATGAATAAGTTCTACAGAGAACATATTTAATTTTTACTGAGTTACATAGACATTTATATTCTACGGGTTTAAATTGATATAATTAATACAGTTAAATAAAAATATATTAAAATAGATATGTTTCTTCCCTGTGTATAATTTCTCATTTCTGATTCTTTTAAAAATCACATTTGTTGATAATTCTGACTTTAGTCCCTATCAGTTCTAGCTAAGGCAATGATCTGGAAGAGTTGTCTCCCAATAATATATGGAGAAGTCACATTTTTCCTCCCTAAGTGTATCTTTATGTGCTGCCTCATAAAGCTACTTTATAAAGTAAATCTGTGTTGTACGTTCATTACTCCAGTATTATTGCAGAAATGTTTCTGAGAGATGTTTCTGTTTTTCATTTTATTTTTTAAAAAATGACCTTTCCACACAAAAAGACTATAGATACATAGAGCATTTGTACCTCTTTTTTGAGAAAACAGAAATTGATTTCTCTCATTTCCCACATGTATTTTTGCTTATTCTTATTCTTCATAATATTGTCACTGATAAAATGGGTGAATGTGATATTCCTTGAGGTGGAAAAATGCATGCAACTTCATATACTGTTAACATCCTGTTTGATTCTGCTAATGGTTGTTATTACTGTATACATTCAGTCACCCTCTTGTGTATTGTTATATGTACTGTAGGGATGTACAAAGCTACTGTGCAAGTCAGGAAAAGATGCAACTTCTTTAAGGGGATGCTGAGAGATGTGTATATGCAGCCATGCCGCCTCCAAGGCACCACATTCTCATCATGGCACAGCAACTATCTTCAAAGATATGTTCACTATAAATACTGCAAATTACTTTATAATCTGTTGAATATGCAAATCAAGCCTTCTATACAACCTACACTATGCTTTTGTTTCCTCTTAAATATTTTATCAGCTTGCTAGTTTTCTTCTCTTTAAAAAAAAATCAAATCTAACTTTGATAGATGTTTTTTTCCTAATCACACAGAAGTGATTTTTTAAAAATGCATTTTAAAAGTGTACTTAATATATTTTGGGCAAATAAGGTAATAATATGGTATAAAACTAAGGATAGTGCTATTGCTATATCAGGTTGCAAATCCCGTGGCAATTAATATCTTGATAATTCTAAACCGTATGAAGAACAGAATTTCTCTCTTTTAGACAAAATAAATGTATGCTCATAAGGCAGGTATGCTACCTGGGAAGCATTTGATGGATGCGATTAAAATCAGTAAATTGATTTAAATTTTAAATTGATGAAGAGGTAAGCAAAAGACCTTGCATACAAAAATTTGCATGCTTTTAATTCCTACTACTGCTGTCAAGGCACAATCGTTAGAATGGATGCAGAAGACCTGTCTAGATTTTGGAGAGCCACCTAGTGCCCATCGGAGTAGGCGAATAGGCCAAAAGAACCACCGATTTGTAGAGCAACTCTTTATATCCCAAAGCCGGCTACTGAGAAGGGCCCAGAGCACAGGATAGTTCCATAAATAAAATCTTGAACCCATGAACTGGCAGACAATTGCATGCGGTTATGTTTTTTAAGTTTACAGCATCTTGTCTGGAAGAAAATATCCAACGATGGCTGGTCCATACACCCGAAGGCAGTCCCAAACTCTTTTGTCTCCTCCAGGCCCCCGTACCTTGCATGCTGAAAATACTCCCAGCTTTTCCAGCTTTTTTGCCCGCGGGAAGCTCCGCGCGTGCGCCTTGCGCTGGCTCGCGCGCTGCTGCTGACTTAATCCTGGACGGACCGGGTCACTGGTGCTTCCTCCAGCTCCGCTTCCCCCTACTACCGACGGCGTTGTAACTGCAGAGGAGGTGGCGGAGGAAGGAGCGCTTGTCTGCGGAATCCGGGTAGTTTGCGAGACCTCCGTCTCCGCCATGATGCCCAAGACCCTGCAGGACGGCGTGGGCGCGTGGCCTCCACTGAGCATGTTCAGAAGTTGGGAGGGGGCCTTTGTCTATGGTGTTAAGCGCTATTGCGCATGCTCTCTGACATCAATTGCATGCTGGGGAATGTATTTCTATAGATTGTTAATGGAAAAAGGTTGCTGTCTACTGGGAAACATATTGTATTTTTTAAATATACAAATGCTGTTTTTCTAACCATGAATATAGAACCAGCGAAGAGTGAAAAAATATGTAAAATATTTTTGATTTCCTTTGTAATTTTCAGATTTTATAATATCTGTTGTAAATGAACATCTCATCCATTTGTAAAATAGAATGAATTCCAAAAAGGTTAGATTTCTTTTGGAGGATATGAGTATTTAACAAAATTTATAGTTTAAATTTCAATTATAGACATAATGCACTATCAGTAATTTTCATGTACATTTCAGCTTTGTTTTAATGTTTAGATCTATAAGATGCTTGAAAATGAATACCCATCAAAGAGTATAGACTTGTGTCTGAGAAGAGGATTTTACCACTTTGTTCATTTAAATGACTTTAAGTGAATGTGACTACAAACTATAAGTCTCATCATCTGGTCTGTGTGATAACTTTTTTTTTAGTTGTTCCTTTTAACCTATTGAACTTTCAGTCATTCTCTTGTCATTCTTTAGATTTCCCCCTAATTTAATTTTCAGAGCTCTAGAAATTCTAAAAGCAGAAAAGTACGTATTTTCCCATGTATAAGCCACCCCTTTTTTCCAAAATTTTCAAGCCCAAAAAGTAGGGGGGTGGCATATACAAAGCAGGTACACTTTTTATATGTGAAAAATGCATAAAATAATAAAGTAGGAATAAACTGGTTTTCCAGCAGTATGCTATACTTTTTTGTAAAAATTGTACGTGATGATACGATTACGAGTGCGAGTAGGCGATAGAAATGCATACGCTAGGCATCGGCCTGAATGCTTCGTTCCTACTCTCGTTCCGATGCGTAGATTGCTAGCGTCACCCGCACCGCTTTCGGCGTCATGACCGAAGTTGTAGATCTAGACGTTGAATTTTGTTTCTTTGTAAATTTTCTTTCTTCATAACTTGTTTCTCTAATAAAATATTTTTTTCAAAACTTCACAGTCCAAAAATTGGGGGGGTGGCTTATACAAAGGGGGTGCTTATACATGGGGAAATACGGTATTTTCCATGGACAATATGCAAGGATTATGTATTTCTCATCTTTATAAAATAATGTAGCATTTCTTAGTGGAGAATTTAAACAATGTAAATTAGCACTATTTGTACACAGTACCTCAGATTTCCAATCAGTAAAGCATGAATTTTCAAACTGGGGCTCATAATCCTCAAGTAATTAGGAGACTGGTGTATATGTGGAGTTGTGTTTTTTTTTAAATAAAAACTGATCAAATTTTCCCTGGAAAGGTAAAGGCATAGGAGCAATTGTCTGAGCAGAGCTATTTCTAAGATATGGCCACTTTGTGATATATGGGTAATTTTCAACAAAGTATTTGTTGAATGCTAGAACAAATAAAATTAAAGATCTATCAAAAATATGGCGAAAGTTACCCATCTTCTATTTTCCTTTCCAACCTTAGCCCTCATTAAATCATCAATTATATTCATGAGGAAATGATTGCAAAAACAATTAATTGTTTTAGGGAATCATGGTAAATAAAATTCTAAAACCCGTGCAAAAACTAAATGTTAAATTTAGAAAGTTACCAGTATTTATGTAAGCTGATACGTTGAAAAACAATGATTCAAGTATGTTCACGCTTGATTTATAAAAATTTATTTTTTAACTCATACACAACTGGAGCTTTGTATTGAAGAGACTGATGTACAGTCTTAAATACAAATATGCATAAGACAAAAATTGCCTTGGACACTAGCTCAGAAACAAAACCCCTTTTGCATTACCAATATTGGTAATGTTGTGTATATGAAAATACCTATCATTGCTTCCCTCCCCATCTTGATTGAATACACTCTACCAACCTGTATCGCTGATACCCAACATCCTAATAGGGTTACTAATAGCATAATGTTGCTTGTAAAAAATTATCTTTTTATATATTTAACAGGCTGAATTAGTGCATTACATCCAATAAGTAAATAATAGGTTAATGTAGATTTGGCATACCAAACGCCCAATGAAACCTAAGAAGGATAAAGGACTAATTGGTATATGTTATTAAAAGATACTGATTTGTTAGAGGCTGGAAACTATAATACAAAAGAGGAAAATCAGGTTTCTATTGTTCTTCAAAAACATTCATAATTACAAATTTGGTCAAAACAAAACTTAGAGGCTAAGGGTTTCTCTCAATCTATCATTAATACTACAGCATCAATTCACGGTTACCCTCGGTTTTCAGTAACACAGTTTTTACAGGCTTGTATGTCATTTCAATGAATAATGTGCCTAGTAATTCTGTAACTCATTCCTATTTTATGTAATTCCCCTAACTATAACTTCTACTTTTCTGTAAGGTAGAACCCTATCAGCTGAAAAAGCTTGGAATTTATCAAGCAGATGTTATAAAAGACACATTTTGTCTTGGGAAAGGATGTCTCTTCTTCCAGGGAGCTCTGAGCAAGTGCAAGAGTATAAATCCCTTCAGAAGATAAAAGGCAGAAAGGAAGAAGGACCAAAGTTTTGAAAGCACACATTGTCCACCCAGAAGAGTGCTGTTGTTCATCTGTATTTTAAAAAAAGACTTCACAAGAGGAATGGCCTCTGCTGTGCTCCTCTCTCCTATTCTATGAGGTAAAAATCTCAATAGAGGAGAAAGAAAAAAAGATCCTGGCAGCTGGTCTTCTGCAAGTGCAACTGATTCAGACACATTCCAACTGGAGCTGCCAGACAAGAATCCTTAGTGGCTGCAACATTGCCCCTTGCTGGATTGGGTACTCTCCTGGAGGCTGACATTTAGATTCTTGCCTGCTGTTCCTGTTGCACTCTGTGGTTCATTTCTGGGAAGTTTCTTTGCTGAGGGGAGAGAGGAGGGTATATTTAGAGCCCTGGCTCTTAAATTTACTCCACAGGAAAAGTTAAAAGTACAAAGAAATGGTTGGTGGGGGAAGAGATTTATTCAGATCACCAGTTTTTTTCCTGGCTAATTCTGACCAATGTACCTGTTGTAATTCAACGGGAGATGGACATTCCCTAAAATACACTTTAGGGAAATGTATTGCTAAGCCAGTCATTTTATCCCAGCCCTTGGACCTTCTTATTCCAAAGTTTACAAGCTTCCCATGTTTCCTTTTTACCTTGACTCAGTCTGTCATTCAAACCATTATTTTTACATCCACCTTTCTATTAATTTCTCTATTTCCTGTCTTGTCTCTATTTCTCTCTTGCAAGTTTCTGAGTGCAAGGCTACAATTTTAGAGTCTATGCTCATACCCAACACCATAAAGATCCTCCTTTGCTTAGGCCTGCAACTTACCACAAATTTAGATTATTAAAATTCTGAAGAGTGTTTGAGAACTTAGATTACTATCCATGAAATAGTTTGCTTGGTGTAGCCCATGGCAGTGGTTGGAGAAGATACACTCCTCAAGCTGCCTTTCTCCTTCCCTTGACTAACCTATTGCCACAAAAGCCTCATTCACATTCATTGCTGTCTTCGCTGATGTTTCCATAAACAGCAAGCTGTTGTCCTCTGCATAGATCTGGGCTTCCTGTAAGCAATAATGTCAGAATTTTCAAAGAGATGCATTTAACCTTTGTAAGCTTGGCTGGCTTCTTCTAAAACTAGACCATATCAATGTCATTAAAAAATATGGCGAATGTGATCAATACAGTCCCTCTAACAAGCTTTGACCAAAAAGATCTAGCCACCCACATTTCCAAAGAGGGACTACAGGACAGACAACATATAGAAATATTGAGCAGACATGTTAAGGTATTAAAATATAATATGCTTAATAATTCCTGCAATTAGATTGACTGTGATAATTACTGTAAACATTAAGCAAGGGATTCCATTTAATTTCTCAACAGTCGATTACAATTACCCTGAAATTTGAGCCAAGATGGGCCAAAATCCCCATTATTATTACAGAAGGGTTTCAGAGAAAATAGTTCTTTGATTTGTTGTTCTTTGCTTGATCTATAGTTCTTTGCTTTTTTTTTTCAAATAGTGTGTCTTATTTCATTGGCTGGGATTAAGAAAATCAGGTTTAAACTGACTTCAGATGAAAACCTGGAAGGGGGGCTGCTATCTTAATCTCATCATCTTTCCAAATGGGGGGAGGAAAATATTGACCAGTTACAGTTAAAAAGTGATTCCAGAGACAACAAAAGGTATTCCAGGTATAAGCTGTTCATGTTTAGTCTAATAAATTTGTGATTATATGCAAGTTTGTACCAACCAAGGAATAAAAGGCGTGAAATAAGTAAACAAGATATTGCTAAATCTAGCAGCTTTGCACAAGTTAGCTGCAGTAGTCCAGAGTATAAACAGGTTAGTATTACCCTTGGATTGTAAATGCATAAATTACAGATAACAAATTGTTTAAAAAAGACCATTAGTGGATTAATACTTATCTTTTTATTATAATTAATACTTATCTTTTGGGGTAGTTAATAGTTAACTTTTTTGGTATTTTGAAATGCTTTGTTGATTGGTAAAAACACATTTAAGAATCATGATTAAAAACAATGTATCAAATTTTATCAAAAAGCCCAGTTTAGGACAGAGTAGCAAATTCATAGCAAAAATGAAATGTGACTAAGAGCTTTCCTAATTCATAGCTTATGGTACCCATTAGATCATTCCACAGTCAAAACATGTTGATGATGAATTATCCTGATAAAGCACCTCAAATAGTCCTTATGCAAAGAGTGAAATTTGAAAAGGATTCAATTGGGTTTGGACAAAAGTAGTACTTAACCACTTTATGATTCTTAAACTATCTTAAGATATTTATTGTTTGCATAGAAAAAGCATCCAAAATCACTGCAGAAGGAAAAGCTAATATTTCCAGTAGAAAAAAACCTTCACCTACTTGGAAATCAACAGCTCGTTTGCTGGCCAAGTCAGCCTTGTTCCCCGCCAGGGCAATGATGATGCTAGCACTAGCTTGCCTTTGCAGTTCCTTCACCCAATTCTTGGCACGCACAAAGGTATCCTATGAAGAGCAAGCACAGCTCCATAATTGTCACCCCCTGGAACTCTAACATACATATGCCTCCTGCTCCGAGATAGGTGACATATCATACAATGTATTTTTCAATGGTGGGGCTCCTCCACAATTGGACTGGGGGACAGCTTCAAACTGGGCCTCACAGAGTGGATTTCCATCTATCAAGCAGGCAAAAGTTGCTGAAGTATAATGGCAAGAGATACTAGCACCTTCAGGTCAGGATCTGAAGGGCTGCAGATTTACTATTCCAGTAGTGAATCATGATTCTTGGTTCATGTGCATTAATATAAACTCAATTCTTGTTTTCCCGTCTGATCAGAAGAGAGAAGGAGACAGAGTATATGCACAGAAGTAATTCAAGATTTAATACATGTAAATGATGTCAGTGCTTGGGATTTTGCTTATGAAAAAGTTAACACAAAATATCAAATTGGTAGATTTTAACTTCAGCTATGTAGGAAAGCTTAAATGTTCTGAGGCTTATAAACCTCTTGGAGATATTTTTTAATGGGAAGTAGAAATGTATTGAATAAACAGCTGCACCCTATGAAAA